GAGCGGAGCATGTCAATTGTTCCATACGCCTCCAGTCGTGACGTCGTTCTGTAAGGACGCCTCAACCGAGGTAATGAGAAGAAGTTGAGAAGCAGATTCTTTTGCTGATGTTGATGACCTGCAGTCGTCATAATGATGCAGTGGTAGTCTTCGACCGTGCCTCCAAGCAGCTAGTCCTCCAGAGCGCCGATAATGCACCAACGAACATAGAACCGCCAGAATGTCCCTACTGTCACCAGCGGCTGCGAGATGGAAACCACACTAACAGAGAACGAGGGCACACTCCAGCTGCTCAGCATGGGTTCGTTAACCCTGAGTATTTTCGTATGCTTGATGCGACGCTACCAGGCACCTCCGAACGATCTGGACCCCCGTCTCCCCGAAGGCGATTAGTACAACCGATACCGCTCGAGGGTTCACCCCTAGGCTCTTCGTACAGTGATGATACCACAGCTCCGGCGTCTCCTGGCATCTCTTCCACCGCATTCAGTCAGGGATATTTTAAGCGGTTTTTTGTCGAAGAAGGCGTGCTCGGTAGAGGCGGAAAGGGTGTTGTACTACTCGTTAAGCACGTCCTCGATGGTGTTCCATTGGGCCAATTTGCCTGCAAACGTGTTCCAGTAGGAGATGACCATGAGTGGCTAAAGAAGGTATTAATTGAAGTTCAGCTGCTCCAGGGTCTGTCGCATCAAAACTTGGTGCCATACCGGCATGTGTGGCTTGAAAATGCGAAACTGAGCAATTTTGGTCCAAGCGTGCCATGTGCCTTTATATTACAGCAGTACTGCAACGCCGGAGATTTGCAAAAGTATGTCTGTGGCTCGGTTCAGTCGGCCGTAACACCACAGCAACTGAAAGAGCGCTTGCGCCGAAGATCCAAAGGTGAGCCCGAAGTCCCTAGCTTCGGCGGTCCGGTCAAGCTTCAGTTTGAGGAGATATATTCTTTTTTCAAGGACATAACCTCAGGCCTGAAGTACCTACATGAAAATGGTTACATTCATCGTGATTTGAAACCGAGCAACTGCCTACTCCATGAAACTGGGCGCGAGCTCCGAGTTTTGGTCAGTGATTTTGGGGAAGTCCAGTCGGAAAACACTATTCGAAATTCTACTGGCAGTACAGGAACCATTTCCTACTGCGCACCCGAAGTGCTACGGCGTCTCTCCCCCAATGGTCCTTTTGGAAATTTCACATTCAAATCTGACGTGTTTTCTCTGGGGATGATTCTCTACTTTCTTTGTTTTGCAGAACTTCCTTATCGGAATGCCGATGTCATTGATGAAGACAAAGAGGACTTAGATGAATTGCGCACTGAAATAAGCCAGTGGGCTGGATTTGATGACGCAAGACGCCTTAGACCAGAACTCCCCGAAAAGCTTTATAGCTTTTTGAAAAGAATGCTTTCCGTTGACCCTAATGAACGCCCAACCGCTGCAGATGTTTTAAGTGGAATACAAACTGGTGTAGGTGCTTCCGATAGCCACAGGTACCATAGAAACGGCCGTTCGGCAGAAAGACGTTCGAAATCACTTGCCCTCCCCGTTGAATCGCCGAACCCTGCACCAGAAATGCGAAGTCCGAGTAATGGACTAGGTACCGGAATCACCCCAAGCCGTAACGCGCATGGCTACGGAACCAACAAAACAATCGACATTAGACGCACCTCTGAACCAGTTCCCGAAATGGGAGAAGAGATCCGGCCATCCGAAAATACCCTACTCATCCACTCTCCTACGGACACCGATCATTCCATTCTACATCCAGACCACCAGCGGATACCTGCAGCTAACCATCTCCTCATGCCCCCTCCACGACGATTTTCTTTTTATAGTCTCATTAGACACCGAATAAATGGCCATTATGTTGCCATCACACTTGCTTTCCTCAAAATCCTCTCTATCACCCGGCCTTGTTCACCTCTGGCAGTGAACACTTGGATATTTTACCCACTTCTTCTTCTTGCTATATCAGATTTAGGGACCACCAGGACCTGGATTCATGTTTCAACGTTGGTGATACATTTGATCGTTACCGCTTTTGCTTTGCGTTTGGACTTTTTTTGTCTTAGAGCGAGTAAGTTTCAACACTTCCCACTAAACCTGTGATGACCCAACGGGGGTTGATGTTGGCTTGTAAGTTCGATAAAGAGAGGCCCTGATTTTGCTTATGATTTTTACGAATGTTTATAGCTATGATGTATTGTAACAAAATTAAAGTACGCATATAAAGGTTCAGGTTTATATTCCTATGGCGGAGATAATTGACTTGCATGGGGTGTAGTGAGGGAAACGTAACCACAATCCCATGGTCACATCACATCCGATGCCTTCTCAGAAGACTTCGAGGGATAGCGGGGGAAAGGTGGTCAGAGACCTCACCCTTAAAGAAGCACCTATATTATGTGAGGTGTTTTTTAAGTTGATTTTGGAAAGTCAATGTATTCAACATGGTCCATCAACAGATATCCCTGGGACCAGCCGAAATGTGAGGCAAACCAAGTTGATTAATCAAATGTGGTGAGACAGTGATAAACAACCGGGCTGTTTACCCCTCTGACAATTCCAAGAAAGCTTGGCTTTCAAAGACATACCTTTCGAGGTATGCTCTGGGATAAAAAGATAAAGCAACATAAAGATCTAAAGGGAATAGGTTGGTGGGTACGGAGTACGGAGAGAATATTTATCGAATAGATTTTTGTAATTTGAATGCATCTGATTTATGTGCATGACGTAATGCTGATGCAGAGTACATACCACGTTAACTCCCCGAATTCCCTTTCACTCTGGCAGATTTAAAACGACTCATGCGCGGTTTATTAGAATTTGACTCGGCATCAAGAGGAATGATTTGAGGTTCGTCTTCTTCTCGCATGAATCCGCCCTCCTGCTGGATTTTCCTGTTTCGAAGATTGTAAAATTCCGTTGCAATCTGTCGCTTGAGAAAGGCCTCGTCGAAGTCCTCAGGATCTGGAGGGAGAGCTGAAGTGTCATTGACTTCACGTTCAATGAGATTATCGGCGATCGTGCTTGATCTGGAAAAATCGGAATCTGGGTCTTCAATTGGCTGAGAAAAAGGTTTTGGATCCGAAGTCGTAGCTGGGAAAAGTGTTGGCGTGACTGGAGGAGCTTTCGAGCGGAATAATGGGGGTGAAGTTTGCGAATTTGTGGTGAGAGGCACAGAGACGGGTTCCGGCAGAACATGTCCTTCACCTGCCCGGGCGATTTTGAAGCGCGATGCCTTTTTCCTTGGCTTCGACTCGAAAATAGCAGTGTTATTCGGTGCGCTAGAATGTTCCATTACTACATCATGGATAGCTGGAGTTTCAGGAGCCTTCCGCTTCCTAGGACTTTCGGGTGAGTTGCCAGCTGGAGCGAGAGTAGATGGATCTGGTGCAATATCTAGCTCGTCTGCAAAGGCAACCTTTTTTTTCTTTGCCAGTTTGTCTTCATTTTTCCCAGATATTGCAGGCTTCAAGTCAGGTTCTTCCAGATCCCGTCTAACTTCAGGAGGGAGGATACTGGGGTCAGGACCAATATTGTGCAAACTCTTGGCATTTAGTTTCTTTTCGAGGTCTCGCATTTGCCTGTGATATTCATCGGAAAGAACCCGCCTTGTGGCCCGACCATATTCATCCTCCTCTTCATACTCATCACTCATGATATAGTCATCGTATTCTTCGTCGGATATGGAAAACTCACTGCCAGATTCGTCTATTTCGAGTTCCGCAACCACAGCTCCAACTTCTTCAAGACCATATTGGAGAATCTCTCTACGCAATGCAGCGTCTTCAGGAGATTCGTCTATCTCTGGCATTTGAATATCACCATCCCTGTCCATTTGCTCAGACACAGATTGGCTACTCACAGTCGAGCCAACTGTCGGAATGTTGGAGACCGAACCACTTGCCACGTCACCATCAGCCAAACGGTGTTCAAACCGTCCAGTACTTTCATTTGCATCGGTCACCTTTGTATCCGTCGTGAGGCCCGCGTCCACGCCCATGGGATTAGGATCTTCTTTGCTTTCCGCTTCCGATATCGCCTTTGAATCTTCCATGTTGCCCTCCGGTATATCTTTCACGCCTGCCCTTTTAAGAACCTCTAAGATTTCCTCCGCTGACCTTCCCGGTGTAGTCGTAGAACCTGATATCACCCTCCCTGCGTCGTCAAGCTCTTCCACAATATCCGTCATCGGTAGTCCTTCTTCATTAAGATCCCCACCAGGTTGTTCAACGACCAGCATCTTCAGTAACTTTTTCTCAGCCACCTCAATCCTCTTTTCCAACGTCCTGATATTATCTCGTACATAATCAACACGGCGTCCAATCACCTCGATGACCTGCCGTCGGTTCCGATTCACGCCCTGCGGTTCGCCTAGCAAATTCTTGATCTCATTTTCAGTAACGAGCAATCCGCCATAATCCTTTGCAGTGCGAAGAATATCTTCCTTTGAGCTGTTATCATCGAGAGCGGATAACTCTTCCTTTAAGCCGTCGAATTCTGCATCCCAGACACGCCATTTGTACAGAGATTGCTGGAGATCGGAAATTTGATGCTCCAACTCCGCACGTTGGCGCTCAAGACTTGAGAGAATATCTTCTGATGTAGACATCGTATTTGTTTAGCTCGAGCTCACGACTTGGAGCTTGAAGAGGAAAAAACGCTGAGTTGCTGGAGTGCCCGAAGACCGCGCCTTGGATCCAACTTAGTTACATAATCAAGAGAGTTGATTATATAATAAAGCCAAGCACCTAGGTTAACTAGTTAAGTAACTTAGTTATTTAGTTTGTACTCCGTACTCCGTACCCCGTACAGAGTAGGTATTATGAACTCCTATGGAGTTGAACTTAACAACTTATTCATGTGATATATCAAACACTGGCAAGCCTTTGCACTCATGATTTGTGGATAGACGAATGTACAGAGCATGAAGGTTGAAATTAAGAAATTTTAACTGGTGTTTGATTTATCATGTGAATAACGATCAAGTTCACTGTGAACTAAAATAACTATCATGTGACATTAAAATGAGAGTGTGGACGACATGAGAGAGAGTGAAAAGATAAAAAAGTCTAAAAGGCTTGAAATGCAGTATGAATCCCATAAAATCCTCCGCCAGTACCAAAAGAAAAAAAAAAAAAGCAAATATCTCACATAAACATTATGCCCATTTTCCTAGCACAGCCATTGCAATCATACCCAGAAGCAGAGAAAGCATTCCAAGACAGGTTTTCATAACCCCAGTCTGTCTAAATTCCCCATAAACCCAATCATGACCCCACATATTTACAAGGGATGCCCACGTCAAAATGCCTGCAGAGAAAGAGTCGAGAGTTCCAATCGCAATAATGGTGCTTCTATCGTTTCCGTTGAACGTCTTGCGGACGCCAAGTCCGATAGCCATACCAATTGGAGTGATGAGTGTAAATATAGTTGCCATGATGAGTTTCATACCGGTCGCCATCTTGGCAAGGTCGGCAATTCTGGACCCAAGGGCCAAGCCTTCGAACATTTGGTGAAATATAATCACAATAAACAGAGGTGTGTATGCCGAATCTCCAGCAACAACGAGAGTGAGACCGAGAACTATACAGAGTCAGATTTATCCTCTGCTAAACGAGGGCCGCTTATCCTGGATGTTAAACTTACTAATAGAATGGAAAACAATTCCAGCTTCCATAAGAATGACACTCAGTTTATCGCTTCGTGGTGCATGCTGATGGGACATCTCGGGAGCAACGGCACACGTTCTTGACGAATCCTTTTGGTTTGCCTGCTGTGTTGAGCTAGATACCGAGCCCTCCCGGTCAGACTCTGGACGAATCCTCGAAGCCATCACTCTATGGCCAAAGTACTCCAACAAGAAAGTTAAGAACAGACCCGCCATCATGATGGCGGTAGCCGTGGCTTCGTATTGAAGGCGTCCGAGACACCTGTTCGCGAACGTAAGCTGCGCATGGGTCAAAAGCTAATGATGACATTAGATGTAGACACTCAAGGGATCTGGAAGTGGATAACTAACATGAATGAAGGCAGTAGCAACCATAACACCGGTACCGAACTGCTTGATGATAAGAAACGCCGATGCGCTTGCCGTCGAAGGAGAAAACCGCTTCCAAAGTATGGGGGCGAAAACGGCGATACCGCTGGTGATCAAAATAGCGAAAAGCGAACCAATACGGTAAGGAACGTTGTAATTGCGGTCGATCCTGTCACAAACTAATTGTGGCTCGTTTTCCGATCCGCCTTTTGGGACACAATGTCTTGTTCGGTTAGCGACTATGCTGGTGGGAGAGATCATTTCAGAAAACATACTCTACACCTGCATGAAAGTGGCAATCGAGCTCCTGCTGGTCATTGCCATGGTTGTGGCCGTCGTGCCCTCCTGTAGGACTTGAGGCTTCTGCTGCCAACACCTCGACTTCTTCATTGTTAGGGCCTACGCAGTACCTAGGATTGAAATCAGCATCCTTGTTCGACGTCCGTAGTTGGGATTGATAAAGGTGAAGTTTCGAGAAGCACGTACAACTTAGATCCATGTCGATGACAATCGGTATATTGAGTAGGTGGCGTAGTATTCGGCCCTGCCGGCCCCGTTACCTGAACCTCTTTGCCGTCTCCAGCGATACAAAAACTGTCTATATGTGAGAAGGAGTTTCGGTGATTTCGCACAGGGACTACATACGTCTTGGTGGCGTGCAGGTGGCAGCTCGTGATGGCTGTTGTCTGAGCCGCATTTGTAGCGGTTGGAGTTGCGCTTGCAGCATTTGGTGCGGTTGAAGGAGCCGAAAGATGTGTCGTGACAGGAGTCTCTTGGCCATCAGGGCCGTAGCAATATCTGGAACAATGTGTTAATGAAGTCCCCCGATCCCCAAGGCTGGCCACTTACTCAGTTGAGCCGTGGCGATGGCAATTAGAAAGGCTTTGTGCGTATAGTTGCGGAGCTAGCAGTGATGTAATAAGACAAATCTGAGTCCAACCAGACATGCTGGAAAAGATTCTCGAAAACATGTCGTAAGCACAGCCAGACAGAAATATCTGGTCAACGAGCTTGAAACACGGAAAGTATTGCGAATGGCAGTGGACTATACAGAGTACTGGGGGAAGGTCCTCAGCCTTCAAATACGAATGGAAGTCGGGCCGCGCGGGCAAAGGTTCTCATTCAAAAAAGAAAAAAAACTAGTAACCACCAATGCTCTCGCTGCAATACGAGAGAATCCTGTTCAAGATGGAGTCGTATTTGAAATGAAAGATCTCCGAAGAACGCCAGAACAGGCAAACGCTCTGCATCCAACAGCGCGGATGGAAAAATTAAATATATCGCCAAGATACAAAGGAGTGCCATATCCCACCTTGAGAGACATTAAAACGGGATGTTACCGCCAAGTTGGCTGAGACCTTGCTCGTCCAATTAAAGCATCCATATGTGAGGACTTTGGTGGAAAAGTCACCGGAACATTAGCCGACGCCGCTGTGGACACGAGCCAGGCTGACTGAGAAGAACGTGGTCTTTTCTCCGAAGCCACTCGGCAAGGCAGCGCCAAAAGGGAGAGAAGCGGGATTCGGGTTGCTGAGGACCTTCGGAGACAGCATTGTTGGCGCGAAGCTCCATATTTGGGCTTGGCAACGTCTGACAGCCAGGCAAAAGGCACGCGATTGCCGGGAAACGAAGCACCAAGATGGGCACGGGCACGGACTCGGAGAGAGAACGAACCCCATCGCTCCAGTAAGCGAGCTGCCAGCCCGCCAGAAACACCTGACATCACGAAGGCGGATGGGATGGAGGACGTCCGGTGTGAACGTCGAATTAAAGTTGGACAATCAAGAACCTTGGGGTGCTGACTCAGCTACGCAGGCCACCTCGCATCATCAATGGTGGCAATCGGGGGAAGGGAGGGGACCGCGCCGGCATCGTGACCACGGGAAGGCCGTCAACGTCCAGGAGATATGGGCCGGCTCACTGTGGAGCATCCCGAGATGCGGCACCCGGACACACTGGGCTAATTGACTAGTTCGGTGCAATTTGAGAACCTTGCGCGTGTAAGGCCAACTCTGCCAGTGCAGAGCGAGTTGGCCAGAGAGAGTCTGGCTGGATGTATCTTTGTATCCTCCTTGCGTGGATGGAAACTTACATGCGTTAAATAGCTATCCAGGCCCAAGTTCTCCTCCCCCCAGTCACAATCGAAACAGGGACCTTGACCTTGCTTTCCAAAATGCAACTATATCTCGTTTCCCTTTTGGCCGTTGTCAGCCCCCTTCATGCTGCTCCCCTCGCAGGGCGAAATTCTTACCCTGGTCATGATCTCCCTGCATGGAATCATGGCGCAGTCACTCAATACCCTATCCATGATTCCTGCAACGTCACTGAAAGGCGGTTGATCGAGAGAGGACTTCAAGACGCCATCACCCTAGCCAACCACGCAAAAGAGCACGTTCTCCGATTTAGCAATAGCTCTTCCATATACCGGAAATACTTTGGTAATGCTCCCTCAGGAGAAGTTATTGGCAACTTGGACAGAATCGTCAATGCCAATAAGGCGAACACTCTATTCCGCTGCGACAATCCCGACGGTAATTGCAAATTACCAAGTAAGTACATTCGCCCGAGAAACTCCATTTCACGGAATGAATGAAAACTGAATTCACATGCTTCAAAGAATGGGGTGGTCATTGGCGGGGGTCTAACGCTACCGGTGAAACCGTGATCTGCCCGCTGTCATATACAACTCGGCTATTCCTTGAGTACTTCTGTACAAGAGGTTACACCGTTGCCGGTTCACCTCTCAATACATACTTCGGTACTGACCTGCTGCACCGGCTGTACCATCTCCCTGCAATCGGAGAGGGCCATATCGAACATTTCAGCGATTCATACGAGGATGTGCTCGAGCTCGGAGCCCATAACTCTTCTTTTGCCGTCCGTGATAGCAATGCCCTCCAATATTTCGCTGCGGACGTGTATGGTTTTGACATAGCCGTTCCGGGAATTGGATGTGCAGGGACTCCTTCCCCAAAGCCAAGTACTACCTCGCAACCTCCAGGGACAACGACAGCCGCTGTGCCACCTGTTAGTATTGCAAACCCCCCTAGTTTAGGAATGAAGCGCTAAACACCATTGTTTCAGGGTTGTCATACACATGACGGTGGTGTCATTCATTGCCCTTGATTTGCGAACGCGCTTATTGGCCCGTAACTGTAGATCAGCACGGCCTCGGATTGGATATTTTGATGATGCGTTTGCCCCGCGCAGTATCTTGAATAGAAGTGGGAAATACCGAATTCTTGTTTTAAAAACTGTTCGTTCCCATGCCGATGGAATGGCCTGCTAACGGACAATGTACATACATATGCCGAAATGAAAGTAGTAACGCGAAATCAAGGTCTTGTGCAGTTATATGTCGATTCGTCTCATTCTAAAATTCCGTGCGAAGAGCCGGCTAGAAGTACCATTCTCCCCATCCCTCGGGTCTCCAGCTCTTCAGGTATTTGGTGCGATATAATTAGGAGCTTGTGAAAGGCGAAAATGTTCTTGTGCCATTGAAGGAGATTATTCAGCTTGATGTTCCCTCTTTCAACTTCACCCTGGAGTTGGTGTAACTGCCTCTGAGAATAATGAAGAACGTCTTCCTTCGAAACCATTTCATCACAGAAAGAATTCCAGGTCTCCAGATCCAAGATCACTTTGGATTTGAGGAGATTTTTGCTGATTTGTGAAGCTTGGTTTTGAATAAAGAGGTCGTCCAGATATCGGGATTGAACATCTCTCCATGCACCATGAGCATAGTAAATACTTTGGCGCAGTTTATCCTTCATATATTTAATAAACCGATAATCAAAGATGGTGCATTGAATATTTTGGTCCCAATCTTTACCGAGCAACTCGTAGGGTGGCTTAGGAGCATCCTGCTCAATCCACCGAGTGAGTGGATCCTCATGCTGGATCACGGTAGTGCCGGTGTTCAGTAGCAACTGCCATTTCTTGCTATCTAAACTATGCCGGTCGAACGAGGTATGCCTTTTCGGTATGATATGGGCGACAGCCATGGAGTTTAGAGAATTCTGCCAAATGACCAAGGTGAAATTCCTGCAGTCGAAGGTTGCCCTGTAGGATGCCATGGCGCTGTCTCGTACGACTCGAGGAATGCCGCCGTTTGCGTAGCCCAAAACCACCAATCCCCAAAAGTCCATTCGAGCTGCCGGCAGCGAATTTGCTATCCCAATACAAGATATCCCGTCTGTTACTCCCTTGATGAAGGCACCGGGCATTTGCTCAGAAAGTGATCTGTAGAGCGGTAACCAGCAACATTGTCCACTGGAATGGGCTCTCCACCAATTCTGGGCCTTTTCGAGAGAAATTCTGATAACATCGGGCCACCGCTCATTGTCAATGGCAAAAACTTTAGCCAACCTGGGTTTTTCTTCTCCTGTGCTTCTGGAAACGGAAAGTTCGCAGAAGGTATTGCAATCTGCACCGTACCATGCTTTGACGATGTCTTCTGTCTCGAGCCAGTCATCAAGGGTGCGAAGGGCTTCGATGCCAATTACTAGAGGTGCTCCTGCCACCGGATCCATTCTGATGGCATCTGGTCGAAATGAACTTGAAGAGGAGGCATTCGATGGCAAAAATTCGAGGTCCCCCAAGCCGAACAAAAAGGATCAGCACGCGGATGGCCATTGACTTTTATCGGCCAACTTTCAGGTTTAGAGCTGCGTCATAGGAGGGGCGTACAGTACTCGAAAGTTTAACTTCACGTGGTTGGTAATTTCCACCTGTAAAGAATGGAAGAAAGAGGGATTTTTCGAGGTAGGGTTTCTCTGCCTCTTGGCACTTGATATACTTGCGATTTGAGCTGCTGCCCATTCCTGAATAACCCACCAATCTCGAATACACCCTGGAGCTGGGCGAATAGCTTCAGTGAGCCCCGCAGTCACCTAGAATTTCTCAATGCATTAATGGCGTGTAACATGAAATAGAAGTCCTGGATGGCTGATTCAGAAACTAGTTGAATAAGATAACAATTGGAAGTAAACACAAGGCCTTCCAGGTAGACGATGGTCTATGAACGTAGCCGTGAGTTAGAAGAACCCTTTTGACTTTACTGCCTTCCCAGACCACTTGTCCATGATAAGGTACCACAGCTGATATTTGGAGATCGGCCCCAAGGCTGAACCTTGGGGCCGTACCTAGTGGCTAGCACCATTCCTTTCGAGTGACTGTATTCCACCATTGAATAACCTGGTTCCAGCTCCTTCAACCCGGAGAAAACGCCTAGTGTAAGTGGCAACTGGGGGAAGGAGAACGATATGGATGTTATACGCGAAGTCGTCCGGCTTGAGCAACCCTAGGAAACACGCCAAACTCGATTTATTCCGGCACACACTGGCCACGAAGGATCCACGTCAAGCATTAAGGCACATGGTGCGATAAGGGACGCAAGGACACGTCAAAAAAGTGGCACTTATATCCGCAGCTCCGATCGACGCAGGCACATGTACTCCGTAATATCGAGGCTCCATCACTCCTCCAATGTCACTGGTATGGAGATGCAATCGTGAATCCGAAAACAGGCGATCCCGTTCGGCGGATGCGAGACGAAGCGGGAATGTTGAGAAGGTTAACTAGTTATGTCACGTGATACATCGGCCCGACTGCACCTCACTTCCACCGCTGCCAAGCACGGCGGACTTGGAGCTGGTGAAAAGGACTGCTGGGATTGGCTTTCTACTCGGAGCTCTTGTTAAAAGGGGTGGGATTATCAACTCGGCGGGCATTAAGCTAGCTAAATGGCAGACCATTTATCCACCAGTGCCAGCAGGATGCCTTGAGCTTCACCACTTTTCAACCGCGTCTGCCCAGTCGCGAGGCCAAGGACAGACTACCTCATTTCCAAGAGATGCCTTCCCAACTGAATGGCGCCAGCCGCCATGGCGAAGACGACGGTATGCTTTTACCCGGCAGGCTGGCCGTTTGCTCTCTAGCTAACCCTTCGCGCACTTTTAGAAGTATGCCCCGTCTGCAAGTCCTCACGTTATCTCAACCCGGACATGCTGTTTCTCATCAATCCGGAATGCTACCATAAGATGTGCGAGTCATGCGTGGATCGAATATTCTCCGCCGGCCCTGCACCGTGTCCCGTAGCGGGATGCCATAAGACCCTTCGCAAAAATCGGTTTCGAAAGCAGACATTTGAAGATATAGGTGTCGAGCGGGAGGTTGATATAAGAAAGGGGGTGATGGGAATGTACGGAGAAAAAAGCGCTTCTGTTGTCTGACCCACAAAGCCATAAGGACGGGATAGCTAACCATCACTTTATCTAGCTTAAACCGCCGCGAGGAGGAATTCGATAGTAAACGCGCCTGGGATGACTTCCTCGAGCAGCGTGAGGAGATCATAGCCAACCTCGTCTACGGTACAGACGTCGCAAAGACAGAAGCCCAACTTGCTGAATACGCTGCCCAAAATGCCGCTTCAATCCGTCACAACAAGACTCTCGAATCTCAAGAATCCGCTTTCCTCCTTCAACAGCAAACCCTCGAGCAAGAAGCTTTTCGACAACGCCGTCAAGCCGCAAGGCAGGACTACGATGAAGCACGACGAGCCAAACTTGCAGGACGACAAGAGATCATCACACGCCTCGCCACTGGCACCCACGAGGACGCAGAGGCAATCGCGCGCGAAGCCAAACACGGAGGCTTATTGAAGAAATCATCCGCTAGACGTAGCGAAGAAGAGCGCATCAAGCGCAAACAGGCTGCCCTGCTGGCGGAATCTAGAAAGGCCGGTGCTCAAGCTCTACCTGCAGGAGACACTGGTGCCACCCCGGCCGCGGGTCCGTGCTTGATCAAAGGCCTCAGAAAAATCAAGACTCCAGAACCTGAGAAGCCATACGATCCTTTCGCTGGTGGATTATCTCTTACTAATCACGACTACTACACACTAAAAGATCACTATCCATCTCCGTACCTTGACCCGATAAGGGATGATGTTCGGATGCTTGCCGGAGGATATGACCTCAAAGAATATTACGCCAGAACCCTTCTTGAAGCATTTGCAGGTTTGGGGTGCTTTATTGAGGAGGAAATCTTAGCAAAAGATCCGCCATCTGCGCCAATCGGGCCCTCGTCGCTCTCGTCCGAAAGTCATTCAGCTTTGGCAACTGGTAAAGCTGCAGAGGAGGGCGTTCATCGGCCTACAATATCCAGCGACGACGTTTTTTAATCTTGGGTTTGCATCATTCTATATATTATGGTTATAAGTCGGTGTTGTTTTATGGTTATTGCGCGGCGTTATTATTCTCCAGTGACGAAATTTCAGCATGCAGGCGCAGTTTTGGAACCATAGATGGGTTTGATGCACCACCGAGTTTTCGCGTGTCCCAGATGAAGGTAAAAGAATTTATATTGAAAGTATTCCGCAAGGAGAAAAAAGATAGCCAAACAAAATCGAACGAATCCACTTGACCAGCGACCTGACGCGATCCCAAAGCGTCTCGAAGAGTCAAATACAGGTTGTATCACCAATCACAAATAAAAGCCCAACAAAAAGCCAAGCGTAATATAATTATTCCCATACAGCGATAAAGGGGTTAAAGGGGTAGCCGAAGCCAATGGCCTCAAAGGTGAACCCAAAAGCTTGAAGAAATGGTACCGCAATGATAAAGTAAACACCCAGCGCAGCAACCCTGTCTTCATCCATTTGAATGCGGTGAACCAATGTAACGTACCCGACTCGACCAATTCTGGGACACAATGCAGGTAACATGCCAGTCAAAAACCAGGACGGGAATCAAGGGCAGGAGACTACAGATCACAGGATTTCTGGATCAAGGGGTTGAAGAATCCTCCATAGCCGTTGATTAAATGCAAGGGCCGAGGATAGAGTGTAAACCCAATGGTAATGTAATGCCCTGAACTATCAATCCTGATATGCAAAAACGATATGCAAGGCATAGTGTATGCGTGCATTTCTTCGATCAATATCCACTCGGCTTTTTAGCCGAGAAAGCTTTCGAGGTTGATTCTATAGTGTCATCAAACCCTTCCCAAGGCAATTCCTCGTCATCGCTATCGCTCAGCTTAGCCTCATGAGCTGTATTATGCTTTCCTTCCTGGAAATCTTGGCCCAGTCGCTCAGTGAGGTTTGGTTGCCGGCTGACTGGGGCTGCAATTCCGAGTGAATGCAGCGTGACCTCAACCTCTTCCTCAGTCATTTCCTCGCCATGTTTCTTTTGTCCTTCCAGAACATCATAGAGAGAATATATTTGATCCGATTTTTTCTCAATTTCAGTCATGAGGATTGCAATTTTTGGACACATGGCTTTCCGCTGCCGTTTATTAAGTGATGGATCGTGCTTGGCGTAGGTGGTTTGAAATACTGTCAGTTGCATTTTCAAATGCGCTAGTTCGTCCTCAAGGGCTTTGAGAACAGAGGCTAAGGCTATGGACGGTTTCTGGGATGGACGCAGCGTCGGTTCATTACCACAGGCAGACGGTCCAGGTCGACGTTGCGAGACTGGGATTGGCCGAGGGACTTTGATTGGTGGAAGGTTCACACTTTCTTGTGCAGGATTGTGCTTTTGAGATTCATGGCAAACGAAACAGTTTTCTTTTTCGTGGCTGGCGACTTCATCAAGAACACGTTGCGCAGCTGCAGAAACCTTAATCGCCTCATACTTGCTAGTAACGCCATGCAATGTGATGTCTGGTAGAATAATGGCGGATGTCATATCGCCTGCCTTGCTCTGAGATCGTCGGCGCCCGGGCATGGAGCGAGTGCTTTGTGCTGTTTCAGGGGCCGCCATTTCATCCCGGGCCTGGGCAGTGTCAGGCTCAGAGATCTTCAATTTCGCATTGGTTGCTGGTTCCCTTCCAGCTTGAGGTTCTATCCTTGATTCTTGGACGTTCGACCCTGTTGTCAAATTATCCAATTGTAAGGGATCAAAATGGGCTCGAGCCGCACCCTTTAAGGGAACCTGGGTTGTTTCTTTTGCACGTCGCTGTTTACGTGCGATGCGCTCTTCCTCGAGCGTTTTTCGAAGGAGTGCAATTTCATGGCGCTAGACTCTTGTTAGTCGAAACAGGGCAAAGGACAACCTTAAAGAAATTTCATAGGGGCACTTACATCGATGAAACTAAGGAACGTTAAATCCTGGGTGTTTCTCCCATCTGTGCGGGGATATTTCGACTCTACTGTGATCTCGGCATCTGACAGGTCACTATCATTTTCCATAACTGCCCTCTTTACACGCTGTTTGCTTGTGTTGGGTTCTTTCTTTTCCTTTCCGGTTTGAGAGCGGCTTCCGCGCCGTCGTTCCCGAGACTTAGATCGACAACGTTTAGAAAGGTCAAGCGAAAACAAATCTTCGTAATGATTTTGACGTTGCTTCGATCTCAGGGCATCATCTTGGGTCGATTCAAGGGTTTGATCGTGAGTATGGCAACATCTGTGATGCTTTCGATGTCCATTACAAGGGTCCTCGGGACCTTCTTCGACACCCAAATCTCCTTCATCAAGGAATTCGAGATCAAGTAATTCAGAGTTTCTTCTCCTTCGAGATCCGCTCCTAGACGTCGTCTCTTCTTTGTGTGCTTTGGCTTTCGACAGAGCATCTGGGTTCGATTCGTCCACGTTTGGCATCGACGTTAATAATAAGAGTTGGCTCCGAAGCTCTTCATTGTCTCGGCGAAGTGATTCATTCTGAGAACGAAGTTCCTGGCAGCTGAGATACGCAACACCGAGTTTATTCATCACAGTATCGCGCTCTTTCATTACTCTTCGCATGTTTCCATCATGGCCTGCAATTTTGTGGTTGGCAATATCGAGGCGATTCTGAAGTGCCATGTTGGCCGTCTCCAGCCCTAAATCATCTAGTTAGCCAGGCTAGGCGGATTTCCTTGCTGAACTTACTATTTCTCTCAACGGCCAATGTCGCCGCACCTCGACCTGACTCATCCTCCGTTCTTCTATACATATGTAACTTTCCTTCCTCCCTTTTTTTGCGGCTAGATCGTTCAGCTCGAAGTACTTGATTTTCTTGCTGAAGTTCCTCCAGTCGGTTCTCTACTAATAAATTTTCTTTCTCTAGTGAAGAAACCTTGTTCTGGAGCAACTTAAGTGATGCGAATATCGCCTTCTCATCCTCTGGGATAGGAACACCATCAAAAGCAACGTGTTCTTGGGAGGCCGCCGAAATAGTCACAGCAGGTGGAGAGGCAAAACGAGTAGTTCGCGACCGGCCTTGTCGTGTTCCTGCCGGCATACCTTCGTGGTAAATACCTGACACCAATTCAGACATGTCCGGCATGTCCGGGAGGATAAATGATTCGTGATTGGCAGTTTCATGTAAAGCGTCATTCGTTCCCGTCATATCTGTGTTGTTTTCTTCCGTGAAATCCGCTACATTCTGCCCAATCCCCGGGTATGGTTTGCCAGCGGCGTTATTGACAGCATGGGCTATACTTTCGACGTGTTTTTGACCTTTCTTACTTCCGAACCGAGTATTCTTAGACTGCCCATCGAGAGTTGGAGGACGCTCATCGCTCAGATATGAGCCTTCATAGCTCTCCAGGACCTTTGCATGCATATCAGACAATGTGCGACGTTGAGTTCTTGAGGGTCGCCGGCTCGAATTTGCCTGTCTTCTACTTCGAATTTTAAGCTCCTTCGGATCAAGATTCTCTTTTTGTGACACGTGGCTTGCATGCCGAATCTGAGCATCTTTCCGAAGATTGTCCTGATTCCTCATCACAGTTCTATTAGAGATTGACCGTAATGCTGGCCTTGAGCACTGTGGTTCAGGAAGGTCCTCGCGCCGGGCCCCGGGTGATGTAGCTAATTTACTATCCTCAAACGATAGGACAGAACTATGAGTATGATCAGTTCTTGGGATGTTTCTCCCTCCCCTGCCGATTTCGATCGACAGGGCTTCCGATTCATCAGAACTGCTAGCATCGGTAAAATGGGGTAGCGCTCTATGGAGGGCGGAGGTGTCGATGGCATAATCGAGGTCCTCAGCTTCCTTGAGAGCGTTCTCGTTGGCTAATTGCTGAGTTGATATCAGAACATCGTTGTCAGGATCAAAGTCTGAGAGGGTGGAGTCTCTCGATGGCTGGCTCCGAGCCAACACATCGGAGGTACTGGTGTGGTCGTTAGGAGACATCGGAGCTCAACAAACAAATTTTCGCTTCTGAATAAATTTCGGCGTGGTTAGTTGGACGCGTGCAAAAAATCGCTGGGTGGTCCAAGCCAGCCCTCATAGATTCAGAGACATACCCTTGATACCCGAAGTCTACGCGTCCGGTTCGCGCCGTATCCAAGATAAGACGAAAGGATGCAGGGTATAGGACTTGAATCAGTATCCAAGAAAACATATAAATGCCATATGCAAGCTTGACAAAGCTTCGATGGCAGTCCTCTCAGTTTGAGGAAGAGTTTGCCGACAGATGGTGGACAAGAACGACAAGCTCTCTGTTTGTTTACGTTCCGGGCGCTCACCTCGCGCTAAATCCAGGAACGGGAAAGCGCGATTCCCCCCCCCTTCTTGCCCGTCCCGGCCCAGACCCACAGCGCCGGATTATGTAACAAATAATTTGCATTGAGCCCGATCCGCTGGTCTGCCGGGGAGCCGGAACAACCTTCTCCGGCTGACTGGACCTCTCCACATCTCCGAGCTGGAATATGCACTGGGGCCCACCACGACCGCAAACAAACTGCTTGGTGGCTAACTAAATCCCTACTTACTGGTACACCAGTTGTTTGGTTAAGCTGCTCTATATCACAAATCGGTGCTTCTGCCACTGGTTGATTGCCCGTTTCCGGCCGCCCTTGTTCATCTCCAAACTGTCACTTCGATTTATAGTATGCCCGAGGAATATTATCATAGTATGGAATCACAACCATCTCCGGGTTGTGTGTATTACCCACCATACGTTCAGTGCTAAGCATGTGTCGGCTTATTGCTGACAATCAAGTTGATACATGACGGCCCCTCAACCGCGGATAACTCCTCCACGGGTTTCTGGATGTCATCGATTGAATCGACCCGGGCGGACTCATTTCCCAACCCCTTTGCAACAATTTCGAAGGCGGTCGCGGGACTGAGGCTGCTGATCGGTCGGGCCGGGTTTTCTGTCCCATAAATGAGATCCTGTCCGTTTGAGCTCATCCCCCAACAGTAATTATTGATAACAACAGTCATGATATTGAGCTGGAACCTGGCATACGTGTCCAGGTCCATGAAGTGGAATCCTGCGGAGCCATCGCCTTGGACATTGATGATCTGGCGGTCTGGAGCAGCAATTGCAGCCTAAAGCATAGCCAAATCCATTTCCTAGGAATCCAAGATACCCGGTTGACCTGAGCACTACGTGAGGACTTGCCAAAGCAATACAGTGGGAAGCCCAGGGTTCGCATTCACCACCATCGGTGCAAATGATGCTCCCTGGTTTGAGGGAACTGAAAAATTGCTTAAGAGCGTGAAATGGATGTGGACAGCCCGGGCTGATTCCCGTTGGTTCCTGCTCGTGTCGACTTTGAACAGATTTGATGCTGGTGGCAACCTTAACCCATTCCTTTTGCACTCGAATTTCGGACTTGGACAACGCCTCGTTCAATGCAATCAAAACCTGGCCAACATCGGAGACGATCCCAAGATCAATAGGCAATGATCTACCAATTTCACCGCCGTCAAGATCAACTTGGATAACCTTGCATCCTTCCTTAGGGATAATTGCCCCGCTGCGGCCAGCCAGGTACATTCCAGTTCTTGCTCCAAGAAGGATAATTGCATCTGGCGGAGGGTACCCTATAGCCCGAAGTAACGCCAAATTTGTTGCATTTCCACCATTCAGAGGCTGTGAAATAGGAACGAAGGCCGAGTACTTCTTTGAATAACTTGAGCAGTTCTGGGGCGCACTGCACCCTAGGAGTCAGCTCGAGACTGTGTACAATCGTTCCTACGCACATTTTGTGACCTTGCACCGGTCCTAACAATGATCACAGGGCGTGTTGGTTGCTTTAAGATATTAAGTGCTTCTTCGATTGCATCCTTATGAGGACCCGAGGGGTAAGGAATCGGAGAAGAAATGGATCCCCACGATATCCTTGACTGGTGAACAGGAGAGAACAGCACATCGATCGGAAAGTCAATCAATACGGGACCTATACTCCGTAAGCCTTGATATATATATCATCCGTGATTCTATTTCTTCCCTACCTGCTGGGCCAGCTACGGAATTTCGAAATGCATGAGAAACTAAACGGGGAATATCCTCGGCGTGCGTGATACGGTGTGCAAATTTGGTCAAGGGCTTCGCCACGACGACTTGATCTATGCTTCCCTGGAGAGAATTGTTTTCTGCATCCCGCAGTGGCGCCGAAGATGTGATACAAAAGATCGAACTTCGATCTGCATATGCAGTGGCCAATCCTGGCAGGCCATTGCTGTACCTGGAATCTCTGTAAATATTACAGGATCGAAAGCGTTGGAAACTCATGTGGATGTTTTCTTTCTCACCCGCTATTGGCAGTCACAAAGCAGACGCCAACCTTGCTGGGGATCTTGGAGTATCATTCTGCAGCCTGGACTGCGACGGTTTCATGTCGAGTGTCTATCAGCCTGATGCCAATGAACTCACATCCTATGAGAAATGCATCTAGATGACCACCATGTAGCCCATACACATCTGTAACTCCTAAATACTTCAGAGACTGGGCCAGAAGGTCGCCACCGCAAACTCTCGGGATCTGGGGAGCTCAAGCGGAAAGCCAGCCATTACGGTTAAAGCACTGCGTTTCTCTCGGAGGACGGTTGATTTCTAGGAGGTGTAACCTCGACTTCCGCCCGAGAATGGGAGGTTTTAAATGTTAAGGCCAAACAACCACCAAAAGGCGCCGATTGAATTCTGGCATCGTCGGTTGAATAAAATTCAGCGTTCCGAGGCATCGCGGAGTCGTTTATCAGAGTCTAGTCACCCAAACGACGCAATGCGATCCTCGGATCTAATTGACGAGTGGAGAAGGCCAGTCTGTGGGGAAAAGCAACTCCACTTCATAGTATGTAGTTAATACCAGGGCGCTGGTCAACAATCCCCTGAGAACGAGCCTTGAGCCCATGATGCATGCATGTATTCAAGACATACATAACAAGTTACCCCGCGTTAAAACCTTAGCAGCGGACGAGGGTAACGGTGCATGCCGCGCCCCCTTGGGTTTCGGGCAAGAACATTTATCACAGCGTTTCTGCCGTATCAAATAGAAACAGATTTATGATAATTTACTTGCGGGAGGCCATTCAAAATGACATCGATTACTATCACGGACGAATCGTTGACGGGCCTCAAGGATAAAGTGGTCACCATCTCAGGTAAGTATAATGGTCGCCCTAGTGGCGCGAAACACATTTTCAACGCATCGACATCTATTCCTTAAACGCATGCTAACACATGATCATATCAGGCGGCTCTTCCGGAATCGGTCTCGCAACGGCTAAACTCCTCCTATCTCTTGGAGCGAGGGTCTCGATCGGCGATCTCTTACCTCCGCCTGATGATGTTCTTCAGGCCGATGGCTTGATATTCACGCCTGTTGACGTCACGAAGTGGAAAGATCTATGCGGTTGGTTTCGCGAGACAAAGCAGAAATACGGCCGGATTGACCATGCTTTTTGCAATGCCGGTATTAGCCACCGGGCGGACTACTTTGACGAAAGGGTTGACGATGATGGCGACCCATTGGAGCCGAGTAGACTTACATTGGAGGTGAACTTGATGGGCGTCATTAACATGACGAAGTTAGCTATCTGGTATATGAGAAAACAGGAGAGTGGCGGAAGTATCGTCATCACGGCCTCGGCTAGTGGTATGTGTTCGGGCTTCCTGACAATCCTTTTCTGTTTTCTCTGGAAAATGGGTTGGAACCTGACGGTGCCTTAGGTTTCCAAAGATTCGGAATGGTCGACTATTGTAAGTGCAAAGTTTAAATTTTCCCTATATTCCCGGGGATATATACTGAAACTAGCGCTGTGAAGGCGCTTCAAAACATGGAGTTATAGGTAAGCGAGACTTCCCATTGTGCTTCGTTTTCGCCCTAGCGCTTCACATCGCTAATGTTTCACAAGGTTTCATGCGTGGGCTTGTGGCTCGCGATCTGTATCCCGGCCTCTCCATTCGTATAAACTCACTCGCTCCCGCCTGGACGGACACAGCAATTGTTCCCCGGGCCCTGTTGGAGGCTGTTGGATGGAAAGTTCAATCTGCAGAGGACGTCGCTCGCTCTGCTGTGATTTTGATGGCTGACGAGTCTCGCCATGGACAGCTGATCTACTCCGCGGAAGGAAAGTTTCTCGAAATTGAAGAGCCGATATTGGAGGCAACCGTCAAAGTTATCGGCGCATCACCGGAGACCGATACCACAAAAATGGCGGCATTAAGGGATAAAATCAGGGCGGCCCAAAGACACTGACGTATACGGATCGAGTCCTAGGAATAGGAAGACCTCGGGGAGCATATTACCTAAAGTAAACCCTGTAAAGTTAGATGTCAATACCCATGCTCTAAGCTTGAATTGAGGCATGAATTGAACTTCAGAAAATTTATTTATTTCGCCCTGAGCATAAGAGGAAATGTTAGATGGGAATTTTTACGGGTCCATGCCCTGCTGAACAAGATTCGACTGAACCACCGCGAACCGGTGGGGACGTCTGGATGGTCGAAACTCGGATCTATGATGAACGAAAGTAGCCAAAACCGCGCCATCATCGAAAACAAACGGAGGTCGGCTAACATTCTTCGAACTATTCTCAACCTAGTTGACGGACGTGAGGCTCGGAGAGTGCTTCTGTTGTTGTTGAACGAAGGCGACGAGCCGTTTTCAACTCTAACCCAAACGTTACCTTGCAGAGGGAGCTGGAGGTTCCTATCTGCCTTTGCGAAGACAAATGAACTGACGGGTCCGGTTAGTTAATCAAAGTTAATTTTGAGGATCAGGCCGTCATGTCTCAGTGTTGCCATGAGAACTCGATAACAATTCCAGACAGAAAAAACAAGCCTGACAAAAATTTTGTAACTGAGTCTTTCCTCGACACCGATTGGACTGACAACCCAAAGCCCAAAGGGCAATTATAACTGCTCAAGGTTCAAGAAACGGGTGATATCAAGATATTAACAATGACAAATATACAGGACAATTGATGTAATTATGTTCTTCTGTCCGTGAACAAAAAAAGATATTCTTATGGCAAATCAGCACGCCAATGTGGTCAATACAAAAGCAAACCGAGTATGCCGTAGACCCGGAGGCGAGGAGGAAAGAAAACCAAGGCACCCAACTATTAATCAAAAACCAAATGTTAAGCAAGGATTTGTAGAAGATTTTGCCAAAGAGTCATGAGTTCGTTAGATGGGATTTATTCGGAGTACACGAAACGGATAAAAAAGGGCAGTGGGTTAGGGCTGAGGCCGTAGGTGTATAAATACCGACTCGGAAGTTTATCGGTGCAGCATTAATCCTAGTAGGACTAGTAGGAGAGGTGGATATGCATGATTAGTTATGGGAAGGCTATGGTGGAACAGATACAGCGCTTCTGGAAGGAAAAACGGGCGAATGAGGAGTGCTAGGGGGTGGCGTCGCATTCTCGACAGCAATACTAGGTACATTGCTATTTGGAGCGAGCTGGGTCGGCTGGTGAGCAAATTGCGGTGATTCAGGGTACGGAGGAGCCTCGCCAAGATCTTCGTAGGGTGGAGGTTGTGGGATAGAAGAGTCTGCAATGTCAGTTTCTGGAGTGGGTGCATTTTCAGCATCGGAGATTGTAGACTGTGACAGGACAGATGTGCTGGACAAAGTACGACGATGCATCGGCGGCATTCCACTTCCGCCCTGGGCCATGGCCGCGGGGGTATCTAGGAGGGGCCGGGAATCCGATCCCTGAGAACTTGCGCGCAGACGAGAGCCATCATGGCGGACATGCCCAACAGCGGCATATGATACACTTGATATGCGTCTTTCACGGCCCCGAGACTGATGCTCCGCTAAGAGCGAGGCTGCGGACACTGTCTCGTTGTTTGCGCGGGCCTGCACCCTAGCGCTGCTCTCCGCACGGAGTTGCTCTAAAAGCACCCAGTCTCCACGTTCACGCGCCTCCCGGCGTATCCGCCGCCTTTCCTCTCGCTCCGCAATTTCCTGCCTGCGATGTAGTCGAATTTGATACAGAGCCTCCATCTCTTCCTCTCTCCGGGTCTCCTCTTCGTCCATTGTTTCCGGAAACTCCACCACGACATCCATACCGGCCCGCTCTCCTTCCCTTCCGATCACTTGTTCGGACGGCTTAGGGATGGGTGAGTAGGCAGGAAGGGTTATTATAGATCGGATGGATGTGTGTCGGTCGATTGCCGCCTGTGTCGCCTCCATTTCCGCGGCTCCTGCACCTGCATAGGCCGTATTCTGCACCAAATCGAGCGACGATGAGCCGTCTCGTCCCGCTCCAGAGTTGCTTGGAACGTGGCCATAAGCGGCACGGGGCACCCATTCCTTCCATTTGCGCTTCAAGAATTTTGTTGGGATAAATTTTGGCTCGTAGTTTCGAGCACGAAGGCTTCGCAGGACGAAGTATATCAGGATAATGACGCAGAGGATAGCAAGGACTATTACACAACCCTAGTGTATAAAGCAATTGCAAATTAGCTTTGGCGGTTGTTAGGATGGGATCTGGGTGCAGAGCACGACTCTCAACCCACCACGATGAGGTTTGTAGTTTTGGATCCCGGACGACCGTCGTCGCTTATCATTGCAACAGCTTGTAGAGGGATATCTCCGTAAGGCGCAAGCAAAAGCAACGAACGTTTTCAGGCGATAAACATATCTACACTGCAGACACTCGAAACAACGCGCGATGATTGGCCTGTTGCCGTTGCTGCGACTGGTATCTTGCGACTGGGAAACACGGGGAGAAGTTTCGAGAAGACTGGCCCACGGAAAGAAAAGTTTTGTGTTGCCTCCGAGCGGTGTTTGGCGATAACTATCCATCAATCCAGGAGAAAAAGACGACGGGAGACAAGGAGGCAACCGAAACGGTTCGGTCAGCCCTATGGGGAAGCAAAGCGGAATTTGCACGGCGTCCGAGTCAGCGAGTGGCTTCAATGGCCTGCGCTGGTTGGTGGGATCCTCAAAGCAGCAATTTGGCGAGCGGCTAGCCAGGCCAGTTCCGGCAAACAAGCCGTGCGGGCAGTGCAACGGTTCCTTGGGTGCAAAACCTTCGGAATACGGGTGCAATGGCTAAGCACCATCCTCCTCCCTTCATTAAGCTCTGCTTTTCTTGGATTTTGGCTAACTTGCCAACCACCTCAGCCAACTCCTCACTCTAAGCCACGGGAACCGCACTCGCAAGATGCAACCTCACATGCCATTTGGGGGTGGAGGAAATCAAGTCAGCCGAGAGAAGTGTACATGCTCTAACATTGCCTGGCCAACAGGTCACAGGGGTATTCAGCCCGTTCTTCTCCACTACAAATATTTCCCGGCTCTCCAGGCGCACAAGATCTGCCATCGATGACGATATGTCAATGTCATTATCGGCGGTTTCTAGAACTTCTCCTTGACCCAGATTGGGGTTTTGAGGCTTGAACGCTTCCTGGTTCTCGAAAGACATACGCGCCAGGTTCTTCCAATGGGCAACACTCATTGGATAGAGATTTTCCTTCTGTCCGGTTCCAGGGCAGCTGCACTGAATGTCTTGAGTGTCTCTGTCTGCTCTCTATATAGAGATGCATCCGGATGGTCATTATCCCTGCTACGTGCTTTCCTCGCATGTAAAGCCAATGAGCCATGATAGTGCGCGGGAATTGCGGATGGACATTGACACCACCCAGGACACTTAATGGAGTTGGCGCTGCTACAAACCTCTGGAAGGTTTGCTTCAAGGAGTCCTATCGTTCGGAATATTCCCAGATCCCATATAGACGTATGGGCTGTATTTCATGAGGAATAGACGCAAAATGATAGAGAGTTCTAACAGAGGGCCATGACTGCAAAATGCAAGGACTAATAGACAAAGACTTGTGTGTCCTGCACTTCAGCGCAGTGCCTTGAAGTGGCATTCACTAGGTCTGTGGAGGATTTCAGTTATTCTGAACCACACACAATGTTCGCACCCTGTGGAAAATTTCACCTTTCCCCGGAGCTGAAGTCCACTCTTTTCTGCAGTAACCTTTTTTATCATCATGTTTCTTCAGTCTTTCACAAGTGACTATCATTGCTAGTTCTTGGGTACTTTTCAATGTGCTATCCATGCCCTCAGCACGGGGAGCTCGATTCTATTACCTCAGTGATGGGGTGACAATTTTCAACTGCATCACGCAACTCGCCCTGTGAAGATATTTGATCATCTCTAGGGAACAACAAAGGACCCTGAGTTCATCCCACCCCTATCCTGGATGATTGCTCCCTTCACATGCTATCTTTGAGAGAGAGATTGGAAAGTTGTGGTTGGAGCTTGGAAGAGAGCATTCCTTCCGCTGATTCATCTCCCCGTACACAATTAGATCAGATATTTGTCTTTTCGAATCCCCTCTATGGTTGATACGCATTCAGTTTTTGCCGGCGAAAAAAATATACTAAATCACGGGTGCTCCTCCGTGGTTCGCAAATATGGCTAGCAGGAATGCCTTAAGGACTATAGTATGAATGAAGTATGCCTTATTACAATGCTGTACGATAGGTAGAGTAAGAAAGAGGAACCAGTGACACAATATTCCGTAGACTCCGAGTAATTACTCCGTACACATGCGAAGTTTTCATACGTACCCAGCAGCCCTGCACGGCGGGCGCTTTTTAAGGGGCATTTTGGTTAAGGTTACCGGCTTAAAGCCAAGCCATGAGTTAAGTTAACTAGTTAGTTAGTTAGTTTGATTGATTGATTGATTGATTATGTCATCCACCGGCCCCAGCCGCTTTGTCAGCAGCTATGCGGGCTTGTCCTCACGTGATCGCCAGCTCAGTCACGTGCTCTAGATACAAACTAAACAAACACAATAACACGGATATACAGGTTTTCCATCCCAACCGCCATAACGTCAAAAAAGCAAGAAATGGAATGTATATAGAAAATATAGATGGATCCCTCAATGCCATTTAGCTGGTGCATCCAGGATGCCGCGCATCTCTGCTGCTGCATCTATTTGTCCTGTATCACTCTTCAGGGGGACTCATTGCTCTGCTGGCTCCGTGTTGATATGCCAGAATTGCCCAAGAAGTCCAGTCTCCATCATGAATCTGGCTGCCCTGATGCTGTACTTTTGCTGTGAGAGCATTATTCTCAGGTCTGTTGTCCTTCTTTCCTCTTTCCATATGATGTCCTCTCTGAGCAGACGGAATTTTGGGCAGCTAATCAGGATGTGTCTCACCGATTGAGCCTCCCTTCCGCACTCGCATCTGCCATGAGTTAATTAGTTGGCCTCTTAACTAATTAGTTAATTAAGTTTCCACAGGTCAACTATTACATGAAACAGCACAACGCGCGGTATGGCTTTGTCCTAACTGATACTGAGCTGGTCCCTATTAAGAGACTCGATTCAAATGGTAACCTGTTGGTAGCACAGGCCATACCATGGGCAGCAGCAGGGCCTGGAAGTTTGACCATTCTTCTCGGGCTTTGGTATCTCGGGATGTTGGGGGCTGCGGATGATGACTAGCAGCTGTAGAACGAAGCAGGAAATGCAATTGCGCAACATGCTTGGGACGTCAAGTGATAACCAGCCTAGTAATATTTTGTGTTTGGTGGGAGGCCTCGTTTCTGATCATCTGCCTGTAAAACCTATCAGTGACAAGGAAATAAGCAGGGAAATTTTTTTGAGACAACAACAAGTTTCACTCCAACACTCTCAACGCATTTGGTTTCAAACTTGAACCAGTTACGTTCTCTCTCTCTGATATAAGTGATGTCGGGATAAGTGATCGCAACATCAAAATCTATCCACACAACTCTTTCTGGGTCACCAGGAACGATCATAATGTTCTTGGGATAAGGATCATTGTGTTCAACCAAAGCTGAATGGATCTGTTGGATACCATTGACTGCCTTGGCCATTCGCTCTTCGCTGTACGTGACGCAGTTCATTAACAAGGCGTTCGGGAGGTATTCCAGCAAAATAGCACTTGGAAGGCCAGCATCGTGCTGAAAGGCATCCAGATAGGGGGCAAAGGCCTTTTGGTTCAGAGAAAATGTGTATCCATAAAACTGTGGTACGTAGCCCCTGTCGCATACACCAGATCGCTTGAGACTGCAGTAGGCCCGGATTTCGCAGCGAGCACGGTTCAAATCACGAATCCCATCATCAGCATACCCGGCGTCTTCTTCGTTGTGGAACTGGGCATGGTCAGAAATTGGTAGGTTTGGCATATAGCGATGGTCAAGGCACATACAACTTTCAGAACGCGGGGCTTGCCATCATAGTTCACATGGAATATCAATGACGTGTCTGATCTTTTCAGCGTTTTAATAAAGTCAACCTTTGTGGGAGCGATCTCAATCCTCAAATTGTTGTCAAATCCTTTCTCGTTCTCGTAAATGGTACCCTCTGGGCCACATGGGCGACTGGTGTGACCCAACATGAGAGCGGGTGAGAAAAGTGAGAAGCAGTAGCCACTGGTAACCTCCACAGTGGAAGACGATGAGATGGAGGAAGATGAGATGTTAAACTTGAACGCGCTGTGAAGGTGTTATTTCAGCCCTAGTCCGGAATTAGGTTGTTCCGCCTGCGCGCTAGCTGCCATATCGGGATTTCGTTGGTCCGAAAAACCCTTACGTTTCCGAGATCTCACAGTAACCTAATTAGGAATCGTGCGAGAACCATAATCTAAATAGAGAACTGTTGGAGCACTGTAGAATTCCTATTACCTTTCCAAGAATGCTTCCTTTCAGGAAATGAGCTCAGTTCTAGAATGTAACTGAAATTTGAACCATGAGATTGGGGGTTTTGTTTCAAATTGAAAGAACCTTTTCTTAATTTTGAAAACTAGATAACTACTGTAGTGACACAATTTCTGCTGCTTTATAGATCACCCCAACCAAAAAACCAGTTTTGGAAATCTTTGCTGCTAACATCAGAAGTAACATTTGCATCAGCTTTTTTGACATTCTCATTTTCAGCATTCTTCTTGTTTGTATTCTTGTTATTAGCATTCTTGTTGGCATCATTCTTGTTGATATTCTTGTTATCAGCATTCTTGTTGTCAGCATCATTCTTTTCAGCATTCTTCTTGTTGGCATTGGGATTTTTGACTGCTGGTGTGCTTGGCTTTGCAGAAATAACAGTTTGTGTCAGAGTTACATTATGAGAAGAAGATGCACTCTTTAGTGCTATACTTTGTTGCTCTGTCAGAGTAAACAGTCAGTATATTTTGAGAAATATTATTTGCACACATACTAGTTGAAAACAGAGAAAATTAAAGACTTCTGATTGGAGTTGGAGTTTCAGAAACAGTTTATGACAGTGAGAAGCTTAAGCAGGTTCTTTTTGCTTCAGAATCAGAAGCACTGTTAAAGGAATATTTTAACTAATTCACTCTTATTAGATCCCTTTTCTAATTCAATTCTAAGAGAATATCTTACAGCATGAGAAGGAAGGGAGTTATTTGCAGGTGAAGCTGAGTAAGTAGCAAGAGCTGCATGAAGATCTGAATTAATAAGTTGTGGCATATTCTTTTGAAAGTTAGAATCTTTATCTTAAAGATAAGAAGTGAAGTAAACTTATATTAAGAGCATTCTTTATGTTGGAGACTGTAATGAAGTTTATCTCTTGAATTTTCTGAATTTCTTTCAAGATTGTGAAAATCTCTTGAAGAGCTTTAATGACTTTGTTATTTAATGCATCTGGCTTATCATCAACAGAAGAAGTCTCTTTCAGCATATTTGCAAGAACAGTTTTTAACTCTTTATTGATAGCTTGAGCAAAAGTAACAACACCCACTTCATGAGCATTTTTAATGACAGTATTTGTTGTATTTGCTTATTTGAAGTATGCACTTTGTAACTCAAGAATCTGATTAATCATTATCTCAGGAAAGTTACAGCAATGCTTCTTGTCTTGTAAGTAGTTTGAGTAAGTATTACCAGAGTCCTGGATATTATTACAGGGCTTTCCAAGATTTTTCAGAGTTATATATGTTATAACATATTGTTGACAGAAGACTGATAGCTTATCTAAAGCTTTATCTTTTGGTTTACAGTCTGGCTTGTTCTCTTTTGAAGTTTCATGTGTGTTTATCATTTTAACATGTTTTTCTGCAAAATGCATCAGCTTTTGCTAATCTCATATATCTCAGATCACCTACCTCTGCAAATTAAAGTATATTAATGAATTCAAAAAGAAATACCAATGAAAGAGAGAAAGAGGGGGTGGAGAAATGAAGGTTAGAAAGACTTGAAAAGAGAGAGAGAGAGAGAGAGAGAAGAGAAAGAGAAGAAGTTGTGGAAGAGATTGTTTATATATGTGAGAGCTGTCTCAATTAGATAGAGCTTTATTGACATGTGCTCTACTAGATGTGTTGATTTTTATATTATCTATACAACCCTGACAAGCAATCCTCCAGCAGATTTTTGGCAGGAATTCTTGAAAAGTTGATTTCTACTATACAGCTGCTTTACCTGTTGGATTATTGTGAGAATTATTGCAGCTTCAGTGCTGCTCAGGTTTGGATTCTATATCATATATATATACATGCTAATCAATGTGCAGATGCTTCAAGAGAGCTTGACATTACTAATTCAGTATTTTGCAGTTCACTCTTTTGGCAGAGTCTCATCTGAAAATCAAATCTTTGTAAGAATTGCTAACTTATCAGCTTCAGAAGCTGAAGCTCTTGTCTTCTTCTTGATTTTCTTTCTCTTTTCCACAAAGTTCTCTTTATTGACATTCTCATATTGCAGATGTTGTTCTATATAGTTTCAAAATTCAAGAATTTCCTGTCATGCTCTGATGGCTTCCTTCTTACAGTCTAATTTCTTCATGAGATTATCATGCAGTTTGATCTACACCATCAAATTAGTATATATCTCTAAATTAAGGTCAGTAATGCTCATTATCTTATATTTGTCTTCAATTCTGACATACACTTGATATACCATTATTCTAATTGCTTTGATTTCTCATAATCAACAATTGGCTCTGCCCAGAAGAAAATCTCAAAGAATTTTTCAGGATCAAAGTGCTTTGCAAAATATGTAAAGAGTTTGTCAGGATTCTGGTAACAGTGCATGTTAATATCAGAATTATTCTTGTGGTCAATCTTCTTTACATTCTTGACATGCTTCTGCTAGCAGTCAGTAAAAGATCTCTCAATATTACAGAGCAGTATACTAACACTCATCTTTCTCAATATTTTACATTTCCAGCTCTTTAAAAACTCCAGAGCAGATACTCTTGCTGAACTAAAGACATATGAGTCTTCATCATTTATTTTATATACTTCCTCTATAATTTCAGGAAGTTTTTCCTTGCTGAATGTTGTGAAATACATTTATCTCACTTACCATTTCAGAGTCTTCTCTTTTGGCTAATTCTCTCTCTTATATTCTTCTGCATCAGAATGCTGAACTCTTTGCTTGTGCTTCTTGTCTCTTTTCTTATTCTCTTTGTCTTTTTCAGAATTCTGATCTTGTATATTCACCCCCTGTATGTCTGCATTGGTTCCCATGGCAGCAATGTCATTAAAGTTACCCATATTGAATTTGTTGAAAAAGAAAGCTTCATCATTTATATTGAAGAATTTAACTCTAAAACCCTTGTAGAATTTTGAATATACTATAATCTATATCAATTGCAAGCTTTCTGACTCCAGCATGAAAGTGGTTATTCCTGACTTCATATTCTATCAGTAATTTTCCCCACATTTTCTGTTAATAGATAACAGATAATCTTTGCTTCCTGAAAGAGTAATCAAAGATACTTCACTTCAAGAGCATTCCATGCATTTCTTTTACAACTTCATACAATCAATAATAGCCTTGTCATTGAAATGTTGTGTTTAAATCTCTGAAAAGTCAAGAAAATCACACTTCAAGATTCAAATCCAAGCAATAATACTTCAATTGCTGGTGAACAACAGACTCAGAGTCAAGCAAGTGGAGAGAGCATTTGTCAGTCAATTGAACATGAAAGCAGTATCTATCTGACACCACTACAGTCAGAACAGCTGGAGGATTTGGCATCAATTTCCAATGATGATGAATTTGATCTTATAGTGTGAAAAATTGTTTATCAGAATTGTTAAATGCTGAGGCTAATATTATATAGTCTACATTAGATACTGGCAATGGTGATGCTGGCCCAGCATATACTGATGATGACAATTAATTATATAAAATATTGAAAGATGCTGCAGCTGATGCAGAATTGTCATATCTAGAAAACAAAATTCTGATTGAAGAAGATCCAGAAATTGATAAAGATTCAGAAATAATAGATACTCAAGTAACAATGCCAATTCTTGAGAATGAATCATCAGAAGTTATTTCACACTTACAGGCCAAAGTATATAATTAAATAGATCAATTTCTAATGTCTCTTGTATTGTGGTATGAGTATACAGACATATTCTGACAGCAATATTAATCACTGAGAGAAATTCTCCAGAACCTGACAGATATCAAGCTATTGAAACTTATGTCTACTGAACTATCAACATTAAAGAAGAGATGCCAGTCACAATTTCTGATACTATCTATCTATCAAAAACTACTGTCTGTCATTTCAAAGAAAATGCTGACATTATCAGATGCAGACAAAAGGCTTGCTCAAGTGGCATTGTGCACAAACATGTATTTTCAGGACTCTATTGCATTGATATCTACACTTGTGAAATTGCTGATTTTCCAGAAGAAACTGCATATAGAAATGGCTGAATTAGTTGATAACTCAAGAGAGTTATGGCAATCTTAAAGCTGGGGAAGCTTCATTAAATACTTCTTGAGTGAATTTGCATATTACCACAATAGTGAGTCTATATTTCTCTCTGACTTTATTCTCTACCAATGCCATAATACTGACTGCCCCTGCAATAAAGATCTAATGAACCATAATCATTTAGAAAAAGTCTAATTTGTTGATCAGAATAAAAAATCAAATTCAATTGCTGAAAATGCAATCACTCTCTGAATTCAACCAGTATACCAATTCATGCCAACATTTTATGGCAGGAAATTATTCCATTTGAATCTACATAGAGTGGTATCCAGTTTCAGGATTTCCCATTCCAGTCCCAGATTCCTGTCCCAATTCCTGTCCTGAGGACAGGATCAGGTTGAAGCTCAGCTTAATGGGATGGGACCAGGTTATTTAACAGCATATTAGGACAGTTCTGTGGGAACTGGGATTGGAATGGGATTGGGACCAGAATCAAAATCTGGCTAGTAGAATGGGCCTGGGACCTGACATGACAAAATAGAATAGGACCAGGATTTCAATATTGTATATGGGACAGGACCAGTAAAGTGTAAAATGGAACCAGGAACCCCAGTCCCATTTGTGTTGTCAAAAAGTAATAAAATTTGGTAACAGTCCTAACATAATTTTATCAATTTATTTAACTTCAGAAAAGTACTAAAATTTGGTAATGCTCTTTGCATAATTGGATCATATTGCAAGCTATTAGCTACTTGAGTCTATCTATTGATAACATTAACATATTTCCTGTTCCTCATCTGGATTGAGTAGTGGATTTAGCAGGCTTGCAATCTCTTCCCATATAATCTCTGGGGTATCTTGATCATCTTGATTGTCTTGGATGACTTTCTTGGCCAACTCCTTATGTGATATAAGTGCTTCATCCAGCATATGCATCTTATCTTCATGTTTAAGCAGCATGATCTTCTTGATTGTAGATGCATGGAGCTGCAATCATTAATAATAACATGTATCCCAAGTAATATTGAAAATCCATTCTATCCCAACCCCTGTTAAAGGTATAGCCAGAATGTTCCTTGCCATCTGAGCAACAGTTGAAAAATCAGGCTCTAGCATCCTCCACTGTTCCAGAATTAGAGCTTGAGATGATGTCAAATTCTCATCATTTAAATATTGCTCCATTTCATTTTGGAAATTTGCTTGTTTTTGATGGGGTCTCTCAAAAATCATTTGCTCAATATCCTAGAGAAGTTAGCAGAGAAGAAATCAGAATAATACTTATAACAAATATACATCATTTACATCAAGTATTACTTCTCTTGGCTGTTCATATTTCTCATAATGCTTTTTGTAAAACCTCAAAATATATTGTCAGTATGTTTCACACTCATTACTGGTCCAATTCTCTGAATCATATGCTCTCATGCAGCATGATGGATGGAGGGCAGCAGCTACAGCTAGCAGCTCATCCTTTGGATGCTCAGTATCACTATAGTATTTCTGGAATTTCAAGTTGGCAGTTTTGATAGCTTCTTGAATGTTCTCTCTTGTTATCAACTGTTGGACCTTGTCCTCCTCTCTTTCTAAATGCTGGAAAAGATGATTGTATGTTGTCCATACCAGATGAATTGTTGGGCCTGTTGTTTTGGACAGTATCTTGGTAAATCAACTGAATAACTGCAACAGTCCAACCATATACTCTAGCTGCTTCCAGTCATGATCCAATAAGCAAAGTCTTTGGTATTTTGATGATGAGTTCTGAATCCATGAGTCCACAGCTTGTCAAAGCAACAAGACACAAACACACATCTTATAGATGGAATTCCATCTTGTGCAAACATCTTGAATCATCTTGTGCTGGTTCTCTTGTTGATATTCTCAGAAACATGCAGCAAGTTGGGGGGAGGCATTGATTGCATTGGCAACAAGACAAATCTATTGTCAAGCAAAGATTAGTAAATCAACTCAAGTATATCAAGATCATTACCAAATTTTGTTACCTTTCTAAGAGTATTTGCAAATGTGTCTGTTGATGCTAGATCATCAGTAATTGAGCTCTCATTAAAGATAGTGGGTAGAGTATCATTGTCTGGCTGAATCTTGAGATTGCAAACCAGCTCTCAAATCACAAGTTGAATCACATGAGCAAGACAGAGTATTGTCCCACTCTCTGCATTTCAATCAGTTGTCTTGTTCAACTGCTGCAATGCTGGCCTCAACTGATGTGTAAGATGTGCTTGCATGGTACCATTGTTTGACATATTGTCACTTGTAATTGCAAGAAGATTACTCTCAAGCCTTCATGCTGCTAGTGATTGTTGGAGAATCTCTGTCATATTCTTGCCAGTATGAGCACCCTCTAAACTTTCAAAATCCAGTAAATGCTTACAGTACTCCCAATCCTTTGTAATGTAATAACCATTAATTGCCATAAAGGCAAGGTTATTGGGACTTGTCCAATTATTCACTGCCAGAGATACCTTAATTATTGGGTCATGGTCAAAGAGAAGATTTCAGAATAGCTGATTGTACATATCATTTATAACCTGATATAATGTTTCTTGTGTGGGTATCTGTAAAGCCATTGCAGGGTTGAGCATGGTTATTAATATGCAGAATGCTGGATTCTCAATAGCACAAAATAAGAGATTCAAGAATATTAATGTTTGCACAAGCTGCCAGAGAAAATTGTCTCAATTGCATTCAGAAACAGGCAGATCTGAATCTGTTCAAGAACACTTCAGAAACTGTTGCTAAGATATCAGGACTGTTACTAAAATTCATTACATTTGGGAAATTAGAATCCATGACCTACCATTATGTTAACCAGAGTGTTATTCTGTCCATCACCAGTTTTTGTACAATCTTTGCTTGTTAAATGCTTCTTCAGATCACTTGTACCATTTCAAGAAAAGCTTGGATAGCTGAGAAAGGTTTGACAATGCTTGCAAATCATCTCTGAAGTGCTCTTAGAATGCTCTGCCATCTGATCAAATTTTGACCAAAAATCAGAATGGTGTTGCTTTGCCTTCCAGTTGGGGTCACCACACTTCTTATCATTAACCAACTGAGCAGCTTCAGTAGTCAACCACCAAGTAACAAACAACTTATGATGCAGCTCCTTCCACAATACAAATTGTTTTTTTTCATGTTGAACTATGGTCAATTCTGAAGGAATCTCTGTAGATTTTGCTTGTTTGCTGGCTTCAGCCATTAGGTTTTTCTTTTTTTTTTTTTTTTTTTCATAATCAAATTGATTTTTCTCTAAGTTCTGTCTTAGTCAAAAAAGTAACAAAATGTGGTCAGAGCCCACACAAAATTTGATAATCTCTAGATAGTTAGCCTCATTTTACTCTGTAAGTACAGCAACCAACTATAAAATCTTCTTCTTCTACAAAATGGAACATTCTTCTTCAGGAAAATAAAATATTTTGCCAATTTAATGGCACCCCATTCTCAAATTAATATGAAAAAAGAACTAAAAACCTAACTTCCTTCTCTAGATATTAATAATCCAATCATCCTCTGCCTCATTGTCCTTCTCATCATTCTTATCAGAGAACATCACAACCTCAAAATTATTTTTCTCCACCTTCTCTGGAACAGGTGGACTGTTATTGTCTTCACTCAGACCCTGTAATTGGCCCAGGAATCCCCTCATCTTCTTCTCAACCCTCTCTCTTGACACACTAACTGCAGCAAGATAATCATGACCATGGGTCATGACCTTGGCCTCAAGTCTGGCTATCATTTGGCAGAATCAGGCCTCCCTACATGCAGCAATAGAATGCTGCATCTGGCTTGTTTTGGCCTAAATATATCAGGACCATTACCAAATTTCATTACTTTTGAATTCTATCTTCTTTTTCTGCCAAGCTTTATTCTCAGTCTCTGTAACCTCTTCTCAGCAACACTTCTTCTCTTCCTCCCTCTTCTTTTGCTGAGAGACCATGAGCTGGTGCTCATGGTACTTTTTTGACTTGCCCTTGGCAAATTGCTTGATCATCAACTCTTCAATGGCTTTATCTTTAATTGTCTTGTGATCCTCCTCACTGCTATTCTGCCTGCAATGGATGTTAATATGATTCAACACAAACTACTGAGGATGCATACCACTCATGTTTTGCTCAGATTCTCTTCAGCACATCATGGCATGCCTTGCAATCTGTCTCTCCTGCCTTGAATATGTCTTTTTGATGATCTTCCAAGACCTGGTGGTGCTTCTGTGCTGCACAGGTCTTCTCTCTCATTGAATATTGTTTTGACCCCATCTTCATGATTGTATGTGATGAGTTGAATTGCTGGCTACAGGATAATGAGATTATAGAGTATATTGATCAAGTACTTGCATAGAATGGTTACTATACACATTGTTTACATTCTACAGGCATGTTGCTATGGGCAAGCTCAATGTGTTGTTGCTATGCTGACTACAGAATAATGAGATTATAGAGTGTATTGACCAAGTACTGTAGAATGGTTACTATACACATTGTTTACATTCTACAGGCATGTTGCTATGGGCAAGATCAACATGTTGTTGCTATGCTGGCTACAGGATAATAACATCAGGTCAGTCTCTCTTCTCTTCTCTTTCTCTTCCTCTTCTTCTTCTTTCTCTTCAGGGCTAACATTGATGATTCCCCCCCTCCCTTCTCCCCACCATCTTTTTATTTACTGTGCTTCAACATCCACATGTACAACAAACATATACTGTGACAAAATGGGTCATGTTAAGAGGTGAGTGCTTGCAGAATACTGCTCTGGCGCACATTATTTACTGACAAGATGTTAGTTTTCCTTGTGCACATTCATTTCACACAGCTGGAGAGGAGTGGCACAAGACTGCATTGAAAGAATGAGCCCTGAAGAAGGGCAATTAGCATAAAGTCAATAAAGATGTTGACCTGGCTAACTTTGACCAGGAGAATCCCTGCCCCTGTCCCCCCATTCAAAATTGGAAGGCTGGCACTCATATGTCAAAAAGTAATGATTTTTGATAACAGTCTTGATGCTAATTGGTGAAAATAGGTGCCATCAAGGAAATCCACTACTTCCAGAGCTCTACCAAGCTAATCTTGCTGGTGGCCCTGTTCCAGCAATTGGTTTGGGAAATTACTTTGTTCTGTCATCAAGAACATGAATATTGCTGGCAACATACTGCTATTAAGTCACTTCAGAAGACAGCTGAAGCAATCTTGTGCACTCTGTTTGAGTGTAAGTCACTCTTAGCAATGGCACCAACAATTATACTGAGTAATATAGGCTCTGTTATGGCAATGGTGCACTATAAGCATGTTACAGTTAACATCAACAATATGAAGCTTGTTCTTGGTATCAGTGCTAAAATTGGGTCAAACTATTTCAGCCTGATTGATACATCTGATCACTCCACCCCTGTCACCACCATCTGCTGCCTGCATGCTGCTCCCACCCCACCAACTACTGCTGCTGCCACTCCACCACCACCACTACTGCCCACCACTACCTTCCTGCCTCCCCCTGGTGCTGTCAGGGTCTCTGCCCATCAAATGGCAGATATTAGAGCCCCTGTCCAGTTCACAAAGCCAGTTCTGGAGGAGCAGGAGAAGAAGGAGGAGGAGAAGAAGAAGAAGAGGGAGGAGAAGAACAATAATGATAATGAAGATGATGATGATGATGATTAACTTGTTATTTAGACAGTTCCTGTTTGTTTGCTGGCTTCAGCCATTAGTTAGTTTTAATACTTTGTTTCTTTTGACAATCAAATTGATTTTTCTATAGGTTCTGCCTTCATCAAAAAAGTAACAAAATTTGGTAACAGTCCACACAAAATTTGATCAGTTTGACTCTTCCCTATGAATTTGACATGATGGGACCAGGAATCCTGGTCCCATCCTGGTCCCACTATGGACCTGGCCAGGATAGAAAATGGGAGTCTACCATCTCTGCTGAAATGGGATGTGGGACATAATTTTCTATTTGAGAATGGGACTGGGAAATAATTTCTGGAATAGAGATGAGAACAGGACCTCAAGCTCTTGAGTGGGATGGGACATGGGACTGAGATTTCATATTTGGGATCCTGGCTGTTTCTAAATTTGGGACAGAGACCAGGTTCAATGGGAAATGGGATCCTGTCCTGGTCCCAAATACCAGCCTAAATCTACAGCACCACCCAAATGAAGTTCTTGCTCTTGAAAGTCAAGAAACATTTGTTTTGGCAGGCAATATTCTTTTCCAAGTTGACATATATCTGAACTATGGATTCAATATGGAGAATTCAGGATATGAGCTTCCAAATGCCCAATATTTCATGTGGCAAGTGCTAACTTTGAAATCAGGAACACTGGAAGCTCAACCACTTAATATAAGTACTTCACTACATGGTGAGCTAGAAATAGCAGCATATGATAGAAAGGTATTGAAGCAAACATTTTCCAACAGCAAAAAGATTATATCTCTTCTCTACCAACTTTTCATTAATGGATTCAGCCTATACCAGAACATGTATTAAAGTCTTATGAATGTCTACATGATACCTGCCAGCATGAAAGCTACCAAAAGAGTCAAGCATAATAATATTTATACAATTACTTTCAGGCCACATGGAACCAATTTTCCTGATGTGATTGAAGTCTTGAAGTCCAGTTTAGCATTACTTGACAAGAGCATTAATGTGAATATTTCTAGTAAGAGAGTCACTAGAGTTATTTTCTCTTGTCTCTGTTTTCTTGAGAATATACTGCAACAGAATGCTAATGCTAGAATAAAAGAGTCTACAGCAACATGTTCTTGTCAGAGCTGCATGGTTTCAGAGAATCAGCAACATGACATGAATTTTGATATCATTGTTAAAGAACACTATCATTTTCAGATTCTGCAGCAGAGAGAAAAAATCAACTCTACAGAAACTTAAGCTTTAAAGCAAAGCCTCTGTAAGAAATATGGAATAGCTGAAGAGCAGACAGCATTGCTCAAAATTAGAGTGGTATCTGGTTCTGGGATTTCCTGTCCTGGTCCCAGATTCCTGTCCCAATTCCCATCCCGAGGATGGGATCAGGTTGAAGCTCAGCTTAATAGGATGGGACCAGGTTGTTTAACAGCATATTGGGACAGTTCTGTGGGAACTGGGATTGGGATGGGATTGGGACCAGGATCAAAATCTAGCTAGTAGGACAGGCCCGGGACCTGACATGACAAAATGGGATAGAACCAGGATTTCAATATTGTATATGGGATGGGACCAGTAAAGTGTAGGATGGGACCAGAAACTCCAGTCCCATTTGTGTTGTCAAAAAGTAATGATTTTTGGTAACAGTCTTGATGCTAATTGGTGAAAATAGGTGCCATCAAGGAAATCTGCCACTTCCAGAGCTCTACTGAGCTAATCTTGCTGGTGGCCCTGTTTCAGTGATTGGTTTGGGAAATTACTTTGTCCTGTCACCAAGGACATGAATATTGCTGGCAATGTACTGTTATTGAGTCACTTCAGAAGACAGCTGAAGCAATCTTGTGTGCTCTGTTTGAGTGTAAGTTACTCTTAGCAATGGCACCAACAATTATACTGAGTAATATAGGCTCTGTTATGGCAATGGCACACTATAAGCATATTACAGTCAATGCTGATGATATGAAGCTTATTCTTGGCATCAGTGCCAAAATTGGGTTGAACTATTTCAGTCTGATTGATGTACCTGATCACTCTGCCTCTGCTGTTACCATCTGCTGCCTGCATGCTGCCTCTGCTCCACCAACTATCACTGCTGCTGCTTCACCATCACCACTACTGCCCACCACCATCTTCCTGTCTTCCCCTGGTGCCATCAGGGTCTCTGCCTGTCAAATGACAGGTATTAGAGTCCCTGTCCAGTTCACAAAGCTGGTTCTGGAGGAGCAGGAGGAGAAGGAGAAGAAGGAGAAGAAGAGAGAGAAGAAGAATGATGATGATAATGAAGATGATGATGATAATGATTAACTTGTCATTTAGACAGTTCCTGTTTGTTTGCTGGCTTTGACTATTAGTTAGTTTTAATACTTGATTTCTTTTGACAATCAAATTGATTTTTCTATGGGTTCTGCCTTCATCAAAAAAGTAACAAAATTTGATAACAGTCCACACAAAATTTGATCAGTTTGACTCTTCTCTATAAATTTGACATAATGGGACCAGGAATCCTGGTCCCATTCCAGTCCCACTATGGACCTGGCCAGGATGGGAAATGGGAGTCTACCATCTCTGCTGGAATGGGATGTGGGACATAATTTTCTATTTGAGAATGGGACTGGGAAATAATTTCTGAGATAGAGATGGGAACAGGATCTCAAGCTCTTGAGTGGGATGGAATATGGGACTGAGATTTCATATTTGGGATCCTGGCTGTTTCTAAATTTGGGACAGGGACCAGGTTCAATGGGAAATGGGATCCCATCCCAGTCCTGAATACCAGCCTACTCAAAATATGCTCATCTCTTAATCTGGTGATCTTCTTTTCTTCTGATCCATGTTACAGTGAATTTTCAGAAATATCAAAACTGGCACACTATTTATTGGTTTCAGTAATTCTTACACCCCATAATCAAAAAGAATACTGTAAATTGCTTTAGAGGTTTCCATTTCATCAGAGATAGATCTGTCTTCAATCTTCACTTATTCATTTGGAATCCTATTAATTACAGAAGTATGTGCAAGCATCTATCATAATTTTACTTCTTCTCCAATGCTACATAATTCAGGAATGGATAAATCTAGCAGTGCAACAAATAATGCCCATAATATTTAAAGATCACTCTGGAAGATTAACAAAGAATTTGATTGTTCAGATTTATACTAGAATTATACACAGCAATTCCATTCTAACATTCCAATCACCAGCTTAATTTGCCTCCACAGGATTACAAGAGATTATCATAACAGCCTGACAGAATCTATAAAGTTTAATTAATACTGCTGTATCAGCTGTTGAGACTATTCATCCAGCAGGCACTCAAGCAGGATCTAGAGCAGCTTCTATAATTAGTATAAGGCCATCTCCCATTTCAATTAAGCTCCTGGCACTTGATTCATATGCCAAAGAGACAGGCATTCCAATTGCAGAAAATTTTAATTTAAAGAAGAAGATAAAGACAATTTGAAGCTTTAAAAACTGTCCAAATATGCATGTCAGCATACATTATCCAGCACAAGCAAATGAATATGCAATTCCAAACAATTGCAATATTCTTATTAGAGAGGACAAGCATCAGAAATACAAGAAGCTAATTCAGAGAACAAACAAGTAAGATGTTGAAAAGGTTCTGTTAATGCAAGAGAGCTTTAGATGTACACTGCTTCTACTACTTGAAGAAGTATTTGTCAATAGTAAGCTATTCTTGATCCAGTATATCTCTAATCTCTATAAGTACTGCCCAACTCTTTTTGTGGACTTACTCTAACTAAATACCAATCTGCATGAAGATGAATTTGAGGCACTGGATGCTGAAGACAAAGATATTGCTGGTGAGTATTCTCTGAATCTCTGGGCACAACAATCTACAGAAAAAATGGTGCCAGTGCTAGATATCCTGAATGCATGACTATCTATATTACTGAATCTCCACCTATTTTTGCAGAAACTTCAAAATGCATATAAGCAAGATTGGAATAAGCCATTCATGATGGAACCAGGCTCAACCACAATACAGTTCTATAAGAATATTACTTTCTCACTTGGAGACCAGCAAATCAAACTAATAATTGATGATTTGATTGAGTATATATATGGAACCAGCCCCATCATTGGGCAAATTACCAGCATTTTCATTCATGAATTGCATACAAATGAAAGGGTATTCTTTTTAGTGATTCCAGTATTGAAAATGATGAGAGATTGGGTTTTAGATCTACTAATTGTGCAGATAGATCTAGAGGGCAGCAACTATACCATTATTGAACTTTCTGTAATTAAAAAGCCAAGTCTTTATACTGTACTGATTAGTGAGGTGTTGGATGCCAGCAGCAATCTGGTTTTCAGTGGTCATGATTCCAGAACCTTTCTACTATGCATCTGGGATGTTTTATTTCTCTGAGATTTGCCTGCTTTGTACATATTTGATCAAGGACTAGAAATGAATGATGCCTGGAACTAGGATTGTAGTAGTTAATTCCCAACAGCATTCCAACTGGGTTTCTACTAACATTCTCAGCAACTCTGAGAACATTCCTGCCATTTCAAAATCATTCTACAGCAATCAGGAACATTTCTCAGGCAGGGGAACCTTTAAAAATGAGAACCATTTCCTATTCAGGAACAGTAAACATGTCATTCCTGCTGCAGGAACCTTTCAGGTGCTGTTTATGGTGGGTTCATCAGGGTTCCACGGTTTTTCGGGCCTACAAAATTCCGATATGGTGTGTTTGTTTCCAAGCCCCTTTGGGGTATGGAAACTCTGATTCTACACTAATCCCTTTTGAGGATCTGTTGCACTGTTCTTCGTCAATTTTTTACAAAACACGCCGGATCTGAAAAATTTCTCTGATCTCAGCATGCCTTGCCATGGTAAGTGTTCAATCTATAGAACTGTGATTTGGATTCTTTGTTGCGCAGCCGGCTGTGATAGAGATTCCACTACTCATATCTACGTTCGTTCCGCATAGGCCGGACATTCTGGGCTACAAGCATGTTTACAAAACTGAAATGACCACTGCTTCAAAGCAAGTACCACTGCAAATCAGGTAGAACACATGGCCTCACGGCGTTTGAGTGGGTGTCACGAGGCCGCGATATACACCACAACTCGTAAACTATGCCAGTGACGCGGCGAAAGGTGTATCGGCCGTGGTACAAGGTTTCGGCTGTCCCTGGACCATCTTCTGCCAGGACTTGTTTTATGATGGTAGTTGGTCTTCCGCAGCGTGGGCCTGAAGTAGATGGAGGGACGGAGTACTAAACCAGGGGTGTTGGCTGGGCTTCCCCGCATTTAAGCCAACCAGTGGCCGACGGCGAACTCCCATCGCATGTCGGAGCGCAGTCCGAACCTCCTCATGAACATGGACATGTGGCTCATCCAATTGCAAAGCCAAGTCATTGAGCAGGTTGACCGTTGGATTTGCTGGCACTCCTGCAAAGCTACGCCTTAGTGAACCTGATAGGCCAATTGCTAACACATCCTTCCTGGCTGGTACTTGGACCAACGGCACGCGTCAAATGCAAAATACATTGCTATTCGGCCGTGATGCCCTGCATGTGTCTCGAAGGTCGCCACGTCATATCACATTGATGTACGGAGAACAGTTCATCTCTCAAGAAAAGAAGTCATATTCAAGCCGGAGGCCCCACCGGATGGTCCAAGATGTCGAACTCTTCTCTTGATCCGGGTCACAGACAATGGCACGCCTTGGCGCTATCGCGGAAAATATAGCCCTGCTGGCATTGTTAAATCCGAGGGAGCCAGTTCCGGAAAACCCCATCCCATCTAAATTCATTGATGATGGCCGTGCGTCGCATTTCATATTGTCATTCGAGGACGAGCGGCGAACAGCAGAGGCATTTGCCATTTTATTGTCAAACACAGATAATCCTCGGAAGGTGGGCGCTGTTTGCGTCGAGCAGTCGCTCGATGGACACAGCCTTACCATTCGGACTGCTGTAAATGCGGGACCCCAGACAGATCGAAAAGATGCATTCGCCAGAATAATCAGTGCTTTGAGGAGGGCCTCATGTTCAGGTTTGTCGGTGAAGACTGAAATATATTCATCACTAATGGTGGTGTAGAGCCCCTGAAAAAGCAAGAAGATGTGCTGCTGAACGAGATCATCGGCGCTTGCCAATTGCGATTACTTGGTCGTCTCCGATCGCGTCATGCGAAGTCCTCGCGACAATCGGGAAGAGTGCCATTTATACACAAGCTTCGTGATAACCTAAAACTGCTGGATTGGGACCAAAAACAACCTAAAGATATTGACTTCTATTGGCAGCAAGTCGATTCTTTGATAGATTTGTTTGGCGATCTTGAAAGCCTTCCATCTCGTGATGCAAGATCAGAACAAGGGAGGGCAATTCTTAACGATATCATACGTCGTGTTGGGCGGGTACTTCGTCCTATTGATACCAGGTTAATTTTGAACAACCCCAGTCATCCCAGGTACGACATGATCAGGAGCCTCAATAAACTTCATCAGTATCGCCATGCGGCACGGTACCTCTTATCAGCGGCCCGGAAATTCCATGCTTTTCATGACTTACGCATAGAAGAGGTCAAGCCTTTTGGTGAGAGCAAGACTGGTGCCGAGTCGTTATCTGTTCGTCGAGGCCTCTTTAGTCGTTCTCTTACTTCGCGTAGACAGAAGAATTTTGTGCGTTTGGTTCAAGAGCAATCGGGGAAAAGTTTAAGTCAAATTGAACAAGAACTGCAGAAGCATCCCGAGTTGGACAAACGAGTGCACGCCGAAATTCAGCTGCTGTTTCATTACGAATGTCAAATGAATACGGTCACTCAACCCCGGGTTATCGTATCCAATAAACAGGCATGCTTGTTGTGCGATTTGTTGATAAAAACCCACGGGGACTTCTATACGCCTAGCTCCCATGGGACTCTCTACCCGCGGTGGAGGATTCCCCGATCTGATGAAGTGAGTTTTCCGACACCTGCGAAAGCTCGAATGGTGCAATGTTTGGATCAGTTCAACCGCGCACTTGAAACCAAGATCAAAAAGTTTGCGGCACAAAAATGTGTCATACCCAACGCCCCGGAGAGCGTTATCTTTAGATCATACAATCACTCCACTTCATCTACAGTCCCAACACCGACAACAGCCGGGAAGGGATCTGAAGGAAACCCGGAAGTGCCGATAAATCGCGGTTTTCCCAGCGCACGACCCTCGATAAGATCTCGTGTGTCTTCAATATCGACAAAGCTGCCGGCATCAACGATAGAAGATGATGAAACGAAGTCATCACGGCCACTTAGATCTCCAGTTCAGTCTGATACAACACCTTGTCCTTGCCCACCAAAACCAAAGCGTGCTCTTTCCCTTTCATCTTCCCAGACCTATGCGCAAAGTGCGCTAAAACAACCGAGAATTCTAACCCGCGGAGTCCCTACGACTTACACCATGTCACCCGGATCTGTAGCCCAGTTCCAGGCCCCACGAATCCATCTAGACTTATCGTACGAGCAAGCTTGCGCCTTGGAGGGCTCTTCGCTCTCCCCCTCCTGCACCTCCGCAAGGAGTGCTCTGATCCCGAGCACTGCTGAAGCCCACGAGGATCTGACACTGCAGGTCGAGTGGTTAGACGCAGAGAATACCAAACTTGGTGGATTGCTGGAAAGGATTGTCGACATTGCATTCCCGTGGGCAAGGAAGAGGAGGAAAATTGCTGATGGGGCTCTGTTCAAAGGGCATGGCTTGGTGTTTGTGAATAAGGACAACGCTGTTTCTCTGAAGGCTATTGGTCCAGGGTAGCCATTTCTACGAAGCATCATATTCTCAGTGGATTTTTTTATACTTCTTGATCTGTATGGAATATTAATACAGAATTTAATACATTGCAATTGGATGATGTCCGGCCCCAGACATTCCGGTCGTCATAAACCAATTTAATCATCGCATAAAAAGGCCTTGCAAGCGATCAAAATGCCCACCAAAATGTAACCCAACCGATATGTCAGCCTGCTGATGACATGTTCATCTGGAAATCATTCAATCACATGCACTCACTTACTCTCAACAGCCTTCTCAACTCACCACCATGCTTATTTACCAGGTCCTCAAAAGGTCCTTCCTCAACCACTTCCCCTTTATCAACCACCACCACCCTGTCCGCCACCTGCATCATCTCCTTCGCATGGGTAATAATAACCACTGTTAAGCCACCACCGCGTCGGCCATCCCGCACCCTCATCAACCTACTAACCGTGCGTTTAATAGCTGCCGCACTCTCAACGTCTAAGCTCGATGTGGCCTCATCCAAAATCAAGACTCGCGGCCGACGGATGAGTGCCCTGGCAATAACCAAGCGTTGCGTTTGGCCGCCAGACAAGCCAACACCTCCATCACCGACAATGGTATCGTACCCTGATGGAAGGGAAGAGATAAAATCATCGATCCCAGCTGCCTTAGCGGCAGCACGAACGTTCTCGAGTGTATTGTAGAAACTTGATTCCTCGAGCCCGTAACTGATGTTTTCACGGATGGAAATGGGGAATATCACGGGTCGTTGGGGAACGATGGATATCAGTGAGCGGAGCGTTGGGACGTGAATTTCTCGAAGGTCTAGGCCTCCAAGGGATATTGAACCCTCTTTTTGCCCTAGATGCCTAATTCTCCTGGTCTTGATGGGGTAAAGTGCGAGAAGAAGGGATGCGATGGTGGACTTGCCCGAACCAGAGCGACCTACAATGGCTGTGCAGGTGTTTTCATTGATGGTCAAGTTGAAGTTGTGCAAAACAAGTTTGTCTGGCTGGGATGGATAGCTGAAATTAACAGCAGTGAATTTGATTGGTACCGGATGTAGGATACGCAGATGGCCTTTGTGCTCATGAGACCGATCACTCGGTAGCCCTGCGAGCTGCAAAACCTGAGTGGCACTATCTCTAGAAGAGCTGATCTGTGGAACTAGCAGAGAATGTTGGTATTGAGTTGCAGATCGTATGCAAGAATTTAGCTCTTACCAAGGGAAAGGACCGCTTTAACATTGGCCATGCTAAACAGCAACATAGAAAAGACAGTCAAGATTGCCTTTGTGGAGTACTGCATCGAAGAAACCAATAATGCCCCATAGTAAAATACAAGAGCTGCGTGAAACTGTTAGAGCCTGTAGTGAACTGCAAAGAGCTTTGCCACATACCGTAGACAAATACGATAGATGACTCTGACAAGCCAAACATGAAGCCCGTATAGCACCCTCTCTTTATCCCTATAGTTAGAGTCTCCAAGTTTGCCAGAAAATGCTTTCTGTGGAAGTAGGACTCCAGAGTCAGGGATCGAACGTTGCGAATATCCAAGAACGTCTCGGAGAATATACCCGACACGACCTCTGCTGCATTGTTACAGCGAGCTTCCCAATACCCGCTTACTTTCTCAAACACTCTTGTAAGCGCATAAAGGACCGGGGCACATGCACAGCTAACCAAAGTTAGTCTCCAACATAGTGCCAGACCCCATACTGTGCCCATCACCATCATCACGGCAGCAACAAACATAAAGCCAGAGAATCTCCCCACAAGATTTCTCATTTCCTCGGCATTACGATCTAAACAATTAACTAAGCTTGAAGCATTGTTAGGACAATTCTCAAACCAAGTTTTAGGCTGTTGGACGATCCGACTGATTGCTTGGTGACGCAATCGATCGACCCAAGCATGCCCGCAACGTTCTAAAAGGTAGTGCAGCCAGAAGGACGCAATACCATTTGCAATCGACACGCCAAGGATGCCCAGCGCATAACGTAGAGCAGCTGGAAGACGGTCTTCAGTCAGGTAGAATGTGCTGAGCAACTCAGAGAATAGAAAAGCAAATGCCGGGGTGGCAGCAGCGTGAAAGAACGCAGCGATGAACCCCAATGTCAAGAGAATATTTTCTGTCTTGGATAAAGAAGGCACAACAGTACGCAAGGTTTGGAATAGGGAACCTTGTTGATGAATGGACGGTGAAGCCTCTGATATTGAAGCTTGATACCTAAGTTGCTCGACTTCTGAATGCTTGCTCAAAGGCGATAGTGCCGTGAATCTGGTGCCATGTTCCCCTGAATGGGACATTGAACTTTGGAAATGGGCCGACGGTTCGAGCGAATGACTTGGGCTAGGCTGATTTGAAGATAAATGATAGCGCGACTGACGAAATACTGGGGAGTAAGACACCGGGGAAAAGACAAGACGGGAGCAATTATTGACTGAATAGTCTGGGCTCATTGGCCGGGGTAGAAAGCTCGAAGGCCTTTGGGCATCTGGATAGCCAACAAACGATACGGGACCTGACGTAATATCGCCCACTCCGCTGGACTTGATCCTAGCGCGTTTTGGCGAAGGAATGATAATGGGCTGATGTTGACTATCGAGCCCTGTCTTATATCCTTGACAAGATACTCTTCCATTATCCACGACATAGACAAAGTCTTGCTCGTCTATCTGAGATAGATCATGCGTGATAATAACTGTAGTCTTTCCTTTTCTCCATTTCCGAAGGGAGTCCATAATGGCTATTCGTGTATAATAGTCCAAGGCGCTTGTTGATTCATCCATGATAAGAATAGGCGTATCCCTCAGACGCGACCTGGCTAAAGCCACCCGCTGTCGCTGTCCGCCACTAAGGCGGTCACCGCCCAGCCCAACCACGGTATCAAGGCCGTTAGGCATGGACTGGACAGTTTCTTTCAAGTGCGCAAAAGAGACGCAGCCGACAATATCATCCAGCCTAACACAGACAGGGTCTTGAGCACCGAAAGCGATATTTCTAATGATGGATTCGTTGAAGAGCGGGCTTTGTTGCTGTACCAAAGTGATATTGTTCCGAATCCAGTTGATGTCCAAAGAATGAATTGGAACACCGTCAATCAATATTTCCCCAGAAGCGGGAGCATAAAACCTCAACAATAGATTTCCTAGGGTGCTTTTCCCTGATCCACTCCTCCCAACGACAAAAGTGATATTGCCAGCGGGAAAGAAGAAGGAGCAGCGGTTCAAAACCAAGCGATCGGGTTGAAATGGATACGCAAAGGTGACCTCAGAGGAGTCAACATATGCCTTGGAAAGCGGAATCGAAACTTACATTGTCGAATTTTATGTCCCCATCGCAAAATCGCGGAGTTTTGTTCTCGCTCATCAATCCAGTCGAGCCGTCGATCGGGTGCACATGGCCAAGAATGTCCTTGAGGGCTGTCGCCGCGGCCCTTCCCTTTTCAAGAACAAGCAGCTGAGGAATGATATTCTCGATTGACTGCGTGGCCTGGAGGCATGCCCAGAATGTGGTTAAGACTTGTCCTGGATTCAACTTTCCGACTGAAACAAGATAGGCTCCATACCAAAAGCCCTGAACGAACATTCCAAACGTTAACATGTGGATAGATCCTATTTCGATAGCAGTAAATCGTACTTGTTTGAGGTAGTGACGGGCAGCCGCGCGAATTGCAGACATATAATTTTCTATTTCCAGGGCCTGTCCATTCATTACTTTAACGATGTCGATCGAGTAAACAGCGTTGCTGGAAAATTTAGAGGCTCTATCCAATTCTTGCCGCTGTGCTTTGATCTCCGGCTGTATTTTCATCGAGATTACGGATATGACCACAGCACAGACAGGAACCGTGGCAAGGGAGATAAGAGTAAGGCTCCATGAGATATAAAGCGCCAGTATGAGGCCAGTGAGAGACGCGACCATGCCCTGGAATACAGAGCCCAAAGGCTGAGAAACTGCCAACTGGAAATCTCGCATGTGTCTAGAAAAGTTATCAGCTTAAAGTTGTCATTCAATCAATTTGGCACAAGGTCGCTTACGATTGAATGCGTGGTAGAAGCGCAGTGACTCCATCTGTAGTCAAATCAAACCATTTCGTTTCCTTAGCGAGCAATTCTTTGAAAAGCTCGTCGCGAGCTCTCTTTACCTGCAATTCTCCAAAAGCAATCCATAAAGAAAGATAGGCAGACTGGATAAACCAAATGGAGAGTCCCAAAGCAAACAGGAATATGCAATTGACGGAGATTGCATCCATCAGCTGTGCTGTGGCGATCGAATGGGCGCCAAAATTCGTAAGCTCATTGAAGATGCGACCAAGTATGATTGCAAGAAGAGGAAATGTGAGTCCACTCGCGAGGGCAAATATCACTGCTGCAAGGAAGGGTATGATATGCCTCCTTGTTGTGAAGTAAAATAACGACATCCATGCCCTCTCCGGTCCTGGGTCGCAAACAGAAACTTTTTCTGCTAACATCTCTCCTGCCAATGTTTCTGAAGCCATGGAAATGCTTGATGCCAGTGGACTGTCTCATGCCAGAAATCAGATATCATTGTTCGGGTTTAAGCTAATTTGAAGAGGAAACGAAGGTAAAAACATGCGACAGTTAGCCTTTCTGCTCGTGAGCGTGGGATTCAACACAATAAATCCCGGATGGATATGAGAATAGATTGGTGGAGAGTGAAGATAATGATCCCAGAGACATGGCGGAATGTATGTCAATAGGAGTTCTTGGAGGCTCTCTTGCTATTGTTCTCGTATATTGTTCCAAAGCACCACAGTAACAAAGAAACGCCGTCAGAAGCGATAGATATATATGGAGTCAGCCATATGGAGGACATATATGCATTTTCCCATCAAAACGGAAAAACTATCCAATGGAAACTTCTTATCTCCAAGAAATGGCGCAAAGCCATTTTTGGCGCTCAGTGCATGGCGAGCTGTTTGGCAAGATGATAGGTTGGCGCAACAGGCCCATGCTTCAATCCCCGTCTTTTACGGAGTAGTCCACGGGAATTCTCAAGAAAAAGAGGGGGTTGTCTGCAACGGTGTCACTGGCTTACACCTAGCCTCGACAAACGTCGATCCCACGCGTCCAGCTGCAGTCTCTCGCGACGAGCCTTTCAAGGTGATATCACCCTGTCAGCGATGCCAGACGGTATTTGTTTTCGCCCTGGGGCAGGTTTTGTGAGGTCCAAATCTGTTAGGTAATCCAACTAGCACCTCGCTCACGTGACCCACATAGATTAGCCGAGATTCCCCTTTAGGTAGCTTAGCGAATGACAAGCATACAAGTCCTCCATCAAAATCGCACGGCCGGAAGCACAGAGTCCGGCTCCCGAGACGAGCCTTGGTTGGAAGCCAAGACAGGGCTGCAACCCAAATTGTGAGTGTCCATGGTATTCCAACTTTTCTAATCCACACTCTGTACCTCTGGATGTGGGTTTTAGGTCGTCAAGGAGCTTGATTTCTGCCTCAGGGGACTTGATTTTATGACTCGTGGTACTCCTGGTATCCATCTATCTCTCTCTCGTGGTCCGACGACCATCCAACGAGATTATAATTACATGGAATCCGCGAACAAGAGACTGTTAAATGTCTGGATTGCCCACGAGAAGGCATGGGCCCGAAAATCGAGCAAATCCCAGTTTGCAGGCCAAAAGAGTTCGCCTTAAAAGTGTTTTACCTCGCCGCCAGCCTTGCACAGCCAGACGCCACCGCGCAAACCTCGACTGCAAGCTGCATACAAAGTAGATAAGCACTGTCGATCCAGCCCTACTGGAATTTCGTCGCATGCCGGCTCTTAACAAGTGAGCATTTGTCTCACTGCCATCAAAATCTACGTTTTCAACATGCTGAAGGGGCCATCCAAACCATCAGCTTCAGGAAGATTTATTTGTGAAGATGAATCCATGCAGGCAAATTAGAGTTGGATTTGGGCAAGTTTTTGATTATTTTACGTCAATTGATGGGAGAGAAACGCCGAAAAAGCAGAGTTGCCTCTTAGGATGGCAATAAATACATCAAAACCTGCACGAGCACCGCTCCAGACAAGCATCCAGCTGCGTTATTTAAAGATGTAAGAAGCATAAGATGTTGGAGTTAACCGAATTGAGAATACACACGCATACACACGAGCGATCAATGACTGAACCTCTCAGATTCGAACTCACTGAGTTACTCCCCACAACTTCCCCTCTGGGCTAGACTTGATTGCCAGCTCGATCAAGTGAGAAAATGTCGCTAGTTTTAATTCACCAAATGAAGACAAATTCTCACAACTCTGGCATGGTCAAACGCACCGTGACGACGAGCAGCTGCCTCAATCGCTCAGCACTGAACCCGTCGGTATGGAATTTGCCAGGTTGAAGCAAATCGTTATCTGCCTGGGCATTTAGGTCGTGGCTCGGTGCCGGTTATCTCGATTTTACGATGGTAGGTAGAAGGTCCATGTTTGTCAGGGCGAAGTCACTTTGTGAAGTTCGGCACTAGGCAGTTATCCAGGTCATGGGAAGCATTAGAGGTTGGCTGGCAAGTATCATTTTGGCAAACTAGCCTAGAAGAGTCCGGATGGGTGATGAGAGGTAATAGACCCCATCATCCAAAGACAACTAGCTATCATGAACTTCGGAGCAGCGACGGCTGATTGGGGATGATATACTACATCTGGGGCATATATTAACCAACTATTTTAAGCTTAGATGCCGATCTCAGCCCACGGTTATGATGAAGCTATAACCACGTAGCTTTTGAATAAGGTGATGGCAATTGAACATGGACTCGATCCGACAATAACACCACTACGGTTTTCAAAGGCTTTGCGCGGCTAAGTTTAAAGAGCCAAAAGGCCAAAATTTTGCTTTGCTGCCTTGGGTTTCCAGTCAACTCCCGTCCTTTCAGCAAGTATCAAATGGAATCAGGAGTAGGCTAAGCACTTCAAAGAGAAAAGGATTGGAATTCCAGCGGACCACTTGCAGTTGCTAGTCTAACAAACGTATTCATCCAAAAACATCTCCAAACGAGCAAAAGTGATTTTTCAACTAGGTACGGAGTAGCCCTACACAGAATAAGTAGCTTACCTTTGAACTAAACTTTCATCTGCCCAGAAAAGTTCTCATCGAGCCCAAGGCCCATCGTCCGGTGCTGGCCAAAAAAAAAAAATCCTCCGTGAGTAGCCAGTCTCCACTGCGTGGAGGCGCACTCACCATGCCAAAGGTGCATGAAATATATGACCGCATCTTGTTCTGAAAAGTTAACTGCATAATTACTCTATACAAGCTTTTCGGTCCCGTCCCTACAGATAGCCTTATCAATAAAGCGAGTCCTTCAGGCGTACGGCCTTGGTAGAAGGAATGAGGCTTCCACATTTTCGATATTCGTTGCCACTAGTAAGGTAACTAGCGGCTATCAAAAGGGAACGAAGGCGAAGATCATCACTGCTTGCTGGATACCTTGCCCAGTCGGTACGTCATAGGTGGGATTCCACATATGTTCTCCACCGATTTTCCTCAAGGTCCGAAAGGCAAAAGGAAAAAAGAACATCGGTTATCAGCGTTCCGGGCTACATAGAGTTTCCAACGTTGACTGATTTTACTTTGATGCGGTGGCACGTATGTGGTCCGATTTGCTATGTGTGAAATGGAAACCATGGAACTGAAACACCCCGGCTTTCATCCTGGAGTGGCTTGCCGATGCGCAGCCCAATCTCTACATAGTACGCAGTCCGTACGGAGTACATCTGTACACTTATTCGCCCCGCCGATAAGATCTCCGACGCTTGATCCAAGGTGTTGGGGTTCCCCATGGAGACTGACCCAGAGATTTTCTCGCCGGCCATGACCTCCCAAGGCTTCGTGGAGCGGTTTGAGCTTCCAGTTTCCACTATGTCAGTTGACTCGAGCCGGAGCGCCAGGGATATGAGACGCCTGACCATCTTCCTTGTTTGGCACGGCGAAAGATACTAGCTCGCAGAGTTTGCAATACTGGGGGATTTAAAAGCTCCAGATGCTCCACGTCGGTCGAACATAAAATTATGCGTCGGCAAAAGTTGGCTAAGATCGTCATCTTAGCTACGGGGAAGTTGCCTCTTTTTGCCTTTTTTTTTTGCCCTCCATCCCTTGACACCCCTTCCACTACACCTTCGTGTGCATCTGATATATCAGTGGAGATATAACTATTTGCCAACTTCTTACATATCTCGCAAGAAGTGAGAAATGGAAAAACTTAGAGATTATATCCATTTTGGGCGAAATAGAGCCTCATCTGAATTGGAAAAGGATGTCTCCGCTCAACATGCAGAGGCCCAAGCCGGCCAGTTCGTGGAAACTCCAATCCGATGGGTGACATTGCACTCAGTTATCATGGGGATGTTCGTCTCCATGGGTGGATTTCTCTTTGGCTATGATACCGGCCAGATTTCTGGAATCCTGGCCATGGAGGATTTCTTGAAAAGGTTTGGTGAGAAAGACGCCACCGGGGATGGCTATCATTTCAGCAACGTTAGGTCTGGTTTGATCGTGGCAATAGTAAGTGTCTTCGCGCATTGTCGTGGAGCTTCGGATGGACAAAGCTAATGATCGATATGTGTCGTGTATAGCTTTCTGTCGGTACTTTGATGGGCGCGTTGATTGCTGGACCCATTGCAGACCGACTGGGGCGGAAGTGGTCAATATCTTCATGGTGTATTGTGCTCGCTGTCGGTATCATTGTCCAAGTGGCTTCAGAAGCACCAGACTGGTGGCAAGTTGTTATTGGTCGTTGGATCGCTGGTCTTGGAGTCGGTGCTCTCTCGCTCCTGGTACCCCTATACCAGGGTGAGAGTGCCCCTAAGCACATCAGGGGTGCTATGATCAGGTAGGATACTACCGAGCACAAAGAGGCGAAAGCACCACGCTAACATTTTATTTTTAGTACCTATCAACTCTTTATTACCTTAGGTATATTCGTCGCAAATTGTATCAACTACGGAACTGAGGGAATTGACAACACTGGCTCGTGGAGAATTCCGATGGCGGTCACTTTCCTTTGGCTTCTCATTCTAGGGTTTGGAATGATGTTCTTCCCCGAGTCCCCACGGTATGCTTACCGCCAAGGCAAGATCGCGGAAGCAAAGAGAACAATGATGAAGTTCTACGGAATTCCTGAAAATCATAAAAGGCTACATGAAGAATTCGTCGAGATCCAGCAAAAGTACGAAGAGGATATGGCTGCCAAAGATGAAAGTTGGTGGCAAATGTTCCGTGCGCCCAGAATGAGATATAGGCTCCTGCTTGGCATCATCCTTCAAGCACTTCAACAGCTGACCGGTGCTAATTACTTCTTCTACTATGGCACCGTTATCTTTAAAGGCGCTGGCGTCGAGAACAGCTATGTAACTCAAATGATTCTCGGAGCTGTCAATTTTGGCAGTACATTTCTCGGTTTATACAACATTGAACACTTTGGCCGCCGCAAATCCTTGATCGTGGGTGCGGGGTGGATGTTCATTTGCTTCCTTATCTTTGCATCTGTTGGCCACTTCGCTCTGGATTTGGAGCGCCCCGAGAGCACTCCCAAGGCAGGCACTGCCATGGTTGTCTTCGCCTGTCTGTTCATTCTTGGATTCGCAAGTACATGGGGCCCCATGATCTGGGCCATCGTCGCAGAATTATACCCATCTCGCTACCGTGCACGATCAATGGCTCTCGCCACCGCGTCTAACTGGCTCTGGAACTTCCTCATCGGCTTCTTTACCCCCTTTATCACCGAGAAGATTGATTTCAGATACGGCTATGTTTTCGCCGGATGTCTGTTTCTCGCAGCGGCCACTGTGTATTTCGGGGTTATTGAAGGCTCGGGCCGCACCTTGGAAGAATTGGATACGATGTATATTCTCAGGGTCAAACCATGGCAGAGTGCCAAATATGAACTCCCGCCGGTTGAGGAGTTGCCTCTCGAAAATCGAACGGCCGGCACTTCTCACGCCTCGTCTCATGAAGAGGCTGATCTGAACCCGCCAACATCGGAACAGAAGAATTATGATTAAAGCGATGATTATCACAAATGTTCATAAAGTCAACTTCAGCGTAGGTTTAAGAAAGATGTTTACCCTCTTTTCTCCCCGCTTGATAAGGGCGTTGAGTCGAACACTGCAGAACTGAAATTAAATACATACATTTTTTATATGCAATGCCAATGTGGCATAAATGTGTCCCTCTTTGTCTTTTTCATGCATCATTTCCCGAGGATTAGCCCCCTCTCTTAGACTTACATTAGATTAGCTTGTTTGTCATTCTTTAGCATATGTATGGCATAGCGATGGACTCTCTTTGGATAATTGTGCTGTAGCCAATTCATGTATGTATATTTACATGGTCTGTAACTTGACTCTTCGTTGGACAATCTATTGATCTTATCAGAGACGGGCTGACCGTACAATAGACAATATTCAGTCCGGGCTCCAGAATCAAACTAAAATCCACAGTGTAGTGCATGGCAAAGCAAGAACTGTATCTGCCGACCTTATGTGTGGCATGTATGTGTATAGAGTACAAGTCTGGTGTTTCGTGAAACTGATGCTGACTTCAAAATGCATCGCAACATATGCAAATTCAAGCTGAATTTTCAATTCAGCAATCGATGTGCAAGAGTCCAGGCACGTATAATAGGTAGATGGAGCTGTTTAAGTTGAACACCATTAGCTGCACGAAGTATTCTAAGCCCCTTTTTGGGACTCTTCGTAAATCCAGTCATTGAGGCCTTCTCGGTTTCTAGAATGGAAAATTTAGCGGAAAGAAGAAATATCAGATAGCCGTCGACCTGCTCACCTTGCGATCTCTATGGCATAGAATTGCATTCGAATCACTGGAATTCCCAAGATCAAAAACGTCATTAGCAATGTCTTCCAAAAGGGCCTCAGCAAACCGCATGGTTATCATGTCAGAGCCGATGGTCAGTGGGACATACCGAACATGGTTTCCTTCTCACCATACTCCCACTTCGGATTTTTCCTTAGCAACGTCCCAAAATTGTAATCATTAACCTTCTTCTCGTACGCCATAGCAAAATCGCGCCACTTCTCTTTTCCTTCTTTGCTTTTCATTTGGTCTTCATCAATAGTGCCTTTGACATCGAAGCCAGGAAATTCATTTCTGAAATGCTCATATATCTCGTCATCCAATTTCGTAAGTCGTAATTTGGAGCCAGGTGTTTTCTCGAGGATAGCCCAGTATGTTGCCATTTGCTGGACAGCTAATGAAAGCGCCCAAAATTCAGTATGCTTGTTACTGGTCTTAAAGGGAGGAAGGAAAGCCTTTGGTTGTAGGCATTGACGAACCTTTCACTGCAAACTGCTTCTCAATCTGCAGAAGCAAAAGGATTTTTATGTTAGTACTGTTGATGTAAAATAGGGGGAAAAGAAAAATCAAAGCCACTTGTTTATAACACACATCTTCCAAGTTCTCTGCCTTCTCTGGATCAAATCCTGCTGGTACTGGTTGTGACATTTTGATTTTTTCGTTGGAGAGAGTCCTTCGAGACGGAGCTGTTCGCTCAGCCAATTCGATCGTGACAGTCGTTTAAATTCAAATGCTGAGTTAAATGGGGTATATAGCAATTCAAATGGTCCAGGGAAAAATAGCAATCCAATTAGTAGGATATTTCGACCTTTACACCAAAAATCGTCACGCTGTGTATAAATGCCCCTCGTCCAATGCCCCTCGTCCCCACGAAGCTTCACGAACCTGCAGGTGGCTTCGGGACGGTTCAAGCCACATATGTGGCTCATGTGCTAAACTATTTTCGATGACGCCACAGATGACATAACTAACTAACCAACCACGTAATCTACTCCGTACCACCGAGCGAAACCAAAATATACTCCGCACATACAAATCTCAACTTTTTGCTCTCTTATATCTTAACAAGTTTATGTCTGATCATTATAATATGAAGAAGGTACTACTCCGTATACAGATATAATAAACTTTGTAAATTATAAGAATTATCTAAATATAATAATTATTTCTTAAGTTATAGTATTTTATTGTCTTTTTACTGGAACAATGTTGTAAGTGAGCCAAAGTTGAGATTTGTATGTATATTTTGGTGTCTCACTCGGGGGGCGGTCTCGCTTGGGTGGATTACATTGGTTAACTGGAGCTGAAACTTCGAAGTTGTGCTTTGGGCCGGAGTCAGCTGACGGAACCCCACAGCGGACATATCTTTGAATGCGCTTCTGCTGGCCGCCATTCCCCGGATTCGGCGGAATCCAAGTTCTGCAATGGAGGTGAAAACAAAGGAGCTTTGATAAATTGGCGAGAGTGACGTAGTTACACGGGTTCCCGTTGAGAACCACGGGCTATCTCCGGTTATAATGACACCTACTCCGTACAATCAGGTTCTTTGGCCTTGGATGGCCGAAAAATTTGCCTTGACATCTCTGCCGAGAAAAAACTGCAATCGTCATTGCGTTCTCATTCTTTAGTTAGTGCCCCTTACGGAGCATTCCATATTTGCATTGAAATTAGAATTAATAGATTGGAAAAACCTTGCTTTCCAAGCCAACATTTCCTCCCAGTATCATACTCCGTACATTTGTCAAAATTCAAACAAAAACAGGAAGCGTTAGAGGCGCTCATAGCCGATTGGCAGAGATAATAAATGAGATAATAGGTTGCATCGAGTGTTAATCAAGATCGTCCAGCTCTTCAAAGCGGCCCTCGCTAAGTGCAGTTTTGACAGGGTTTTCGACGTTAACAACGCCCGTTGCTCGAAGCCTACGGTTGTCAGTTAGAAACAGACTAAACTTTAGAGGGACAAAGAGCTACCTTTCAAAAAGGACGAAGAGCCTTTCTGCCTCTCTTTCCTTTTCTTCCATTGTCATTGGAGGTCCGGTATCCTGGGGCTCAGCATCAAGCCTTTGGCCAGTGATCGGGTTTATCGGGACGGGTTGCTCGCCTGGCTTCGTGGGTCTCGTGCTGAATGCCTCCTTTGCAGTTTCGGGGATAGACATATTGTGGGACATAAGAAATCCCGCGGCAAACCCGTAACCAACATTCCTCACAAAATCACTGGCGTTACGGCCAGATAGTTCAAACATCAGCGCTGATATGCCTTCTCTTAGCTGAGGAGCAACAGGGGATGTCGAAAGACGCAGAAGTCTCGAAGACAGCGTATGCGACTGTCCAATTGGTAGGTCTCTCTCGCTGTCGTCTGGAAGAAGAAGCCATTCCATATACTTCCGGGGCCCTTCAGGTGCGATATCGTAGATTTTCCTTAGGAGGGTGAGAAGGGGTAGCGCCAACGTATCCAAGTGGGAAGGTTTATGCACCGCAACGGCTTGGTCCAAGATATTAATCAACTTATCAACGTTGCAGTTTTGATCAAACTTCGGAAAGAGAGGATTCGTGCTGAAATGGTTGGTTTTCTTGGCCTCAAGGTCGAGATTAAGTAAAGCGTTGATTAAATAGTTCACAGGTGCCTGGAGCGGTGGCGTGGGTATCTCAATGTGGTTTAAAATCTTCAATATATGGGGAATCGAAGGAGAAAATGCATCGACCTGGTCAGGGTAATAGCTAGTCACGTTATACATCAGCTTGAGAGTTTCTGATAGACCGAGCTCATCAATCTGCGTCAGTTCCTTCTTTTTGCCTTTAGAAAATTGTTTTGAATGCCGATATATGTGCTGGATATGTACGTTAGCCGCAGATGGAAGAAAAGCCGAAAGCGTCATCGCCAGACATACATTGTTCATGCTTTCTCCTAAGGCGTGCTCGTCAAATAGCTTATTAAAATCCAAATTAGAACCGTACGTTGTAAAAAATAGGAGACGGGCGGCTAGGAATTCATCGTCTGAATTGTCTTCCTTCACCATAATGAGTTAGCAGCTTTGTTGGAACAACCACGCCTGTCAGAACTCACTTTGAGCTTCTCAGCCGCCTTATGCCCATTTCCCAAGTCCACAAATATTTGACGAGTCTCTTTTTCGAGGAAGAGAGCATTCGCAAGACAACGAAGGGCTTCTCGAGATATTTCAACGTCCTTTTCCCCAAATCCGTATGAGGAGAGAACATCGATTCCCTAATCACCGGTTAATTCGGCGACAGATGGGTCTGCGTATAATTTCCATGCCTCTTTTTCAAAAATGGGACCAGCATTCTCGGGTTTGCGCCCATGAACGCGAAGCTTTTGAAGAACTTCAATGCGTCCTATGAAAACCTGCCTTAGCAAATGCAAAATATTCGGCGATACGCTATCCACATACTGGCACGCTCGAGTCTTCTCTCACCGAAATCTCTCTTGAGGATGTCAAGAAGCCGTGTGACCTCTTCGAGCTTTTCTACCCCCCGCGTTAGCCGCAGTGATGACCTGGGAGAGATTATGGGTGGGGAAAGCATCATCGTTGCGCCACCCTGTAAAGAACGCACCTTGGCCATGTAGTTCGGGCGTATCCATGCTGACGATAGAGAAGGACTTCGAGTGAAGTCCGAAGCTGTTCCTCAAGCTGCTACGGTCAAGAGGAGGAAGGTTGAAACGTTAAGAAGTTTCGGGGCCCAACTGAGCTGCCGTCGTGGTGGGCCAGGAGTTAGGTAAGGTCAATGATCGGTTGCGACCCGAAGCTCCTCAAACAAAGTCGCGAACAAACACCCCGGCGTTTATAGCCGGATCGCAAAGACAGTGCTTCAGTTCTAGGGCGCGCAAATTGGAGGAAGTAGCCTAGCTTGGATTTACAGCATAAATACTACTTACTAAATATCTGGGCTTTGGCCTGGCCGATAAGAGCTTTTCCCGCATTCAATCGAGAGTTTATGAGCTAAAAAAATCGTCCCGCTGACCGGTCCCGGCGCCTCCAACCCAGCTCCCACCAATTGCGGTGCACCATTGATGGGTGAGGTTCAAAGCGCCCGAAAAAACGAAGTTGACCATCATGCAAGAAATCTGCTGCGAGATCATCACCTGATAGCTGTCATTCATCAGGTGCCTGGATTTTGACAAAACTTTCCTTCAATGACCATTGCATGGATTAGATATCTACCCCGTGAACAGTCCTCATTATGAAATTTTAGCTTTACCACCGCTACAGGAAGAAAACCAAGGCATAGGGACACAAAGACTACAGGATTCTCCAGGATCTCGTCCAGGATAATGTGCAGCACCGTCCAAGCAGCCATTACCTATGTGGCTACTGTTCATTCTGGACCACTCCTCTAGACTTTGCAGCCCGCACGATGTAATGCACAGTCCATGGCTCCTCATTATCAATGCACCAAACTGTTGCTTAGTTAATTTTACATGCACTGCTCCATCCTTCAAACTTCAGCACAATTCCTATTTTGGTGTGAATCACTCTACTGTATAATCCAAATTGTTTCCCTGCTTGCTGCATAGTTGTAGCCAATAACACCCTGTTTTTCATATCATCTCTTTGTTTTCTGATACGAGCCTGCATCCAGCACACACTCTTGCACGCACAGAGACACAAAAAGAGGAGGCCGGAGGGGGTGGGGACGGATAGAGAAGGTTGGTTGGATAGCAAGAGAGTCCAGCTTCCAACTGGCAGCGAGTTGACAGATCAACATTTAGGTAGTGCCAGGATTAGGGCAAATTACACAGTCACGCTCAACAAATTCACATCTTGGCGACATGAAAGGCGTCGGGTTTGAAGTATCCTGTACGGAGTAGATCCCTTTCTCATATCAACCATGTTAAAACGGAGTATGCCGCCCATTATAGTTTAAAGCTGATGAATAGGCTCAAATTGATGGCAATAAAGTCGCGCTACGGCGAAAATGTAGTAAAGTGGGATTTTGGGGTGGACAGGTGAGGCATGCTGCTAATGAAGGGGACAAGATGCTGACATAAAGGTTAGTTTAAAAAGGGAAAAAAGGCAAAAAGGAATTCGATTTCTACGGGGGATGCATTGAGGTAGTTCAAGTCAAACTGCTTGGGGTACTCCGTAGAGATGCCCTGTTGTACCAAAACAATACAATTGGAATGGGAGATCCTCCATATGGGGTGCAGGCAAAGGTTAATGCAGTCATTGACCACATTTTCTCCCCCAGGAAGTCATGTTAACTACTCTGTACGGAGTACGGAGTACAGAGTATGCTTTTGGGAGCTCCTTCATCCGAGAGCATAGAGAGCTGATGTGGGGGAGCTTGCGATGAAATGCAACTCTTTGCCGGAGCTACGGAGCAGACGATCTCCTGCTCGCTCCGAAGAGCGCCAAGAACCCGCGTGTTAAATTGGAATCTATTATATAATCATGCTCGACGCGTCGACTACACGACCGCGATCTCACGCGGCTCGCGCTTTCAGCATCCAACGCTTGCCGCCGATTCTCATGGCAAAAAAAGGTAGTTACCAAGCAGACCGCGCGGGATGAATTTCCATAGCCTCGAGTTGGAGGATTACTCAATCCCAACAGTTTATGTTCGATATGTTCTTTATTCGCATGTTTTGATTTGAATTGGGCAGTTTTGATCGTTTTTCATTTTATTCTCCCTGGCAAGCATGGTCGACAAAGGCGGACTGAGCGCCCTCCCAGCCCGCCCACCAACTCCTCCACGATCTTCATCAGTCTCACGGACAGAACAAGTTAGACGGACGTCTGAACTTCAATGCTCCCCTCCTGCCAACGAACGCCCCTCAACGTCTCTAATCTCCCCGCATCCACTCTCAGCGAGAAGCTTGAAACGCGTGAATTTCTCTCCATTGACAAGTTATATCAAGGCACCTGAGTTTCCAGCCTCGCTTGCAAAGAATTCAAGGCCTCCTTTGCGGAGCTTACGTCCCTCAAAACAATGCAAACCAGCGAAGTCCATTCTCAAGAGCAGACCATATGTCGAGTCCCCAGACGAACCACGGTCGAGTCCGACGGACGATCTGCCTAGCATGTTGGACTACATTATGCAGCAGCTTGAAGGAGATTGTCGCGTTTCAAGAACCGATGCATATATGCAGTTACTGGGCAGCCTGGCCGCATACGCTGACCTGCCCGATGCGGCTGCATTAGTAGAGAAGATGCCTTTATTAACGCAATATATTCGCCGAGACCTCACTATTACATCAAGCGCATTCAAACATCTTGAAATATCTCTTCTTCACCAAGCTTCAAGCCTCCTGTGTTTGCTTCTTTGGAACCCCAAGTTCGCTGGACGTATTTCGGATGAGTTCAAAAGCTTTGTCCTCGATCTTGCCATTGGATCTCTTCAAAACCCGTCCACACCAAAGACTATTGTCATCGACGATATGCGCATTTTATATGTGCAGAGTTTTCAGCCGAAGCTTTTCACCTCCTCGAGAATCACGCTGCTCTTGCACACTTTAGAGGATATCACAACCCGGCTCGGCGGTAAATCAATAGTTATGATGCGATTAGGTATCTATGAAGGTCTACTGAAGCAAGCACGCTCATTGATGGCAACTTATGCGTGCCTGTGGATTGATCATGTTATAAAGGCTATGTTTCATCGAGTGAAAGACATCCGAGTACGAGCTATTAAACTCGGATTGGAGGCTGCAAAGTCATTTGGTCCAAACCCGTCAATCTCAAAGGCTACTCAAGATGCTTTAGACTTGACCATGGAAAATGGTGCAAAGTTTTCTGACGAACTATGCAGCCGATTGATAACAATGGTCACAAGCCGAGATGGAAGCGTTTATGTGCCTCAGATCTGGAGCGTTATTATTCTCCTCCTACGGAAGCCACGAGCGTCTTTGAACGGATGGGCAAGTTTCAGGCGGTGGATCTTGGTTATACAGAAGTGCTTTAATTGCAGTGACACGCCAACGAAGACTCAAGCTTTGGTTGCCTGGGATCGTTTGGTATATGCATCGCAAACAAACGAGCCGGCTGGGAAGGATCTGACCTTTCTGAGCAAGCCGATATTTCTACAACTAGAACGTAGAAAGGATGAGACTTTTACTCCGCTCATCGATCGGGCGCTTTCCAGCTATTGCAATTTACTTTATTATTCCTTTCGACCCTCCGCCTCGCATGAACGTCTGGATGCCTGCTGGCAAGAATATATATCTTCTCCGTTCCAGCATCGATTGAATTCGAATCATAGTAACATGCGATTTGCATGTAGAATCTTTGCGGAACTCCTTTGGAATCCCCATCCTAAAGTTTGGGTTGAGGGAAAAGTGCTTGAAACCGCAAGGTTCAAGCCAGAAGACCTGCTACGACTGGATTGCAGATGGGTGCGGTCAAGGATTGCTGTAATCCTTCCGATTTTTGAATCGTTTTTCAAGAACGCCGACTGGAGTGACGAAGCCATTACAGGCTCCCCGATAGGCCTTGCCTGGATTCATATGATGAAGGCCTTATCCGACGCGTCCAGCAAAGAAATTCAGCCCTCTTCAGAGTTAATGAAAGCTATTGCAGCCCTACTGGACATGCTTCAACGCGTCTGGAGAGAAACCCAAACATCATTGAATGCAAAATTGACAGACAAACTTGATTTATTCCTCAGTCGCTTCCGCTTTTTATTAACCAACATGATATCAATTATCACGCCGTTTCCATTTACTGACAAGTTACTTTTGAGAACCACCCAAGACACCTTTCAACCGGCGCAGACTCCGACCCACCGACACCAAAAAGATGGAATCACACGGGCCCCTATTCTTCATTTATTTAATATGATCCTTAATTCCTTTCCTTCCGCACCAACTTCCGAATACTATGACCTTGTCAACGACTTAATCCGGCTCGCTGTATCTGGACACTCCTCAAGAAGCCCCCGATTGGAGATACTTCGACAATTCACAGAAATCCTCGAAGAAGCCGGGACGGAAATTCCACAGTCTATATCTCGTGTGCAAGATGCCTGGAAAGCTATATCCACTGTAACAACGGAGTGCTTGAAGGAAGCTCATATGGGCACACCGAATAAGCGACGAGATGACATCAGTGTTGGCGATTTCAACAAGGCTGTTGCCATTTTGAAAGTCGGAAATAAATTGCCGGGTTCTTTGCCAGAATGGATCGAGCTCTTCCAATCTATGATCTCAGTTGTGCGAACCGAAGGGGATGACGCCGCTGTATCTGCTGCGATTGACGCAATCTCTGAAGATTGCAATAGTGCCTCTTTTTTATCAATTCCACGCGTCGTAAAGCTATTCGAAGCCATTGTCTTTCCGGGTACCCATGCCGCAAAGCAATTGCCGCCCTTTGCGCAAACAATTACCGGCCCCAAGGATCAAAACATTAACAGTATTTCTTGCGAAAAGTTGCTGTTGCTCGTTACAAGAGCCCTACAGGATGCCTATGTCAAGCAAAAGGAGTTTAGCAAAAGCGATACGCTTACTTTGCTCGAAGCAGTGGCGCGCTGCTTTGACAAATGCCCTCCGGACTTTCAATCAACGCTCTTGGAGAAGCTTCAAAATGGCCTCTCCGTGTGGATCACTGATGCTCAAGGCCAATATAGCGCCACATCTGGCTCTGATAAGTGCCTCGCCATGGCTGTAGGTAAAAGCTATCGATGCCAATTAGTTTGAAAATTAACGTTCATGTTTATAGGTTCGGAACATCGTGTTGGCTAGTTTTCAGTCCCTGCGCTC